CGTTCTAGTGCGTCTGACAGCCCCCGACCTGGTAGATAAGCGAACTGTGGCATGTGCTTGAGGAACGAGAGGGTCAGTGGTTGAAGCGCTTCTCTGGCCGCTCCCGCCAGTCCCTTAGCGTCAGGTCGAAGGATACCCAAGGGTCTCAAGTTTGCTGGTTTATCAGAGGGCTTGCCCGGCTTGGGTATTAAACAGAGATCTGCGTCTACTAGGTCGGATTCTAGACTGTCCTCGGCCTGCTTGGATGCTACGTGTTCGGAGAGGACCGGTGCAACGAGATCGCTACACAGCCTCCATACAGCCGCTGGTGCCGCTCCGTCAGGAACAGCTTTGTTCGGCTTGATGGAATGTATGTGAGCTGCGAGTTTGGGTGGCTCCAAAGCAGGGAAAGCACCATGCATAGTCCGTAACGGAGGGTGGGCCGCAAATACCTGATTGGCATAATCCCTGAGGGCTGCTAGTTCCTGCGCTGGGCCTAGGAGATGTCCTGTGTTGTCCTTTAGCTGAGCTCTGCGCGCGGGCTGCCAAGGCTGCAGCTTTTTGAGGGTCTGGAAGGAGATATGCTGATCTCCTTCAGCTAGACTCGCATCTACCTCCGATATGAAACTTGCAATGCGATCTTTCTTTGCTTGTTTCACAGCTTGGCGATGTGCCACTTGTGCCAGCTCAGCTTCTGTTTCCGGCGGACGTGGCGTGTTCCGATTAGGAGGCTGTGCCATTGCTTTAGGTGACTCGATCAGCTGTGCTGAGGGAGTATTCGCAGCCCTGTCATGAGTGCGGGCCCGCCACATGCGACGGGTTTCCGATTCCAGCAGAATCGGTATTCTTTTGGGAATTTTTGGGAAAAAGCGTTCTGCACCTTCCAAAAGCAACGCATTCCATGCCTTGGGGTCCTGGCAGGTGTCAATTCTGGAAGCTATCCAGCTGTGCAGTGCCTTTGCCGTCTCGTCTTCTTCTCTGACCGAGGCCTGTAAAGCTAGTGAATCGTAACGGCGCGTGCTGGGTTTGTGGGATGGGAGCAGCCAGTGATGCTGGAGGGGTACGTCAGCTTTAAGCGGGTAATGCCCCCCTTTCTTCCAGCTTCCCAACGGGCAGTCCACCCATGGGGCTGACCTTTTTGCTTTGCCTCCCGCCGTAGATTCTTTGGTGAGAATGAAGTCAATTTGCGACTCCACTCCTCCTTGTGAAAAGGTAGCTATATGGTCACATTGCCAGGTGTTGAGGGCAACCAAACGCAACCTGAGCAGTAGGTTAAACAAGTTGGATTCATCAGGGCGGTCCTCAGTAGGTGGCTTCACGTGCGGTCCCACCAATGGAGAGCTCGAACGCAAGGAAGTGTTAAAATCACCTGCTACAATAAGGGAGTCCCTCTTAGGCACCTGCTTGATCACCTTGGACATGACAGATAGCACCTTAGCACGGTCGTCCTTATTGGACTGGATGGTCTTGGCAGAAGACCAAGCGTGCTGGTACACCGCGACAATAACCAGCCGAGTACCTGCAATGTCCGCGCGAGCTTCTAAGACTCTACCCGGGCTCCACTCCTTCCAGCGTAAGCTCTTGGGGACGAACTTGGGAGAGAATAGGATCATGACTCCATCAGCGCGAGTCGTGGATGGGGCTCGCGGTTCTTGCCGAGTGTTTCGCTTTGCTGCTTGTTTAGGCCGGGTGTTGGGTTTGGTAGACTCCGAGGCTGAGGAGATACAGTACCACCCAGAAACGCTGAATTCGCTGGTCTCAGTCCAGTGCGTTTCCTGCAATATGAGGATGTCGCAGTGATGAGAGGCTTCAGCTGCTAGCCATGTTTTGAGTTCGCCCCATTGCTGTTGGCCTAGGTGGCCCGCGTTCCACGAAAGAACTCGAATGGATCTTTCCAACCTTCCTGCCCTGCGGGAGGCTGTGCCATATGCAGGGGAGTCAGCAGTCTGTGACTGAAGCTCTCTTCGAGTGGGTGGGGGGCGCACCCCCAGACGATCAACCAGGGTAGGTGTCAGAACCTGCCCTCGGTATGGTACGGGCCCGTCACTACGGACTGTCCTTCTACATGCTGTCTTGAACGAATTCTTACGAAGAGATGCAAAGTTTTGTGAGTGCACTGGCAATTGCGCCATCCGCTACTTTCGTCAAGAGACAGAAGCCTAATGACTCCCTCCACCGCGCGGAGGTGGAAACCCTACCGCCTACCCAGTGTTGCAATGTTTTAAACAGAGTCTGGGCCCAGGAATTGGGACCTGGCGGCTCAAAGCAGCTCCTGTGAGAAAAGGGAGAGGACCATGGCGTAGAAGGAGGCACAAACCTTTACTGTTCAGAAAAGAGCCCAGTTGGGACCTCTAGCACAGCAGTTGCGCCCCAAGCCTGTTCGAAACCTCTCATTCAGCGCGGCCGCTTGAGCACTTGTGGCGGCTACTACTACTACTACTACTACTACTACTACTACTACTACTACTACTACTACTACTACTACTACTACTACTACTCCTGCTGCTGCTACTACTACTAGTACTACTGCTACTACTGCTACTACTGGGACTACTGCTACTGCTGCTACCACCACCACCACTACTGCTGCTACTACTACTACTACTACGACGACGACACTACGACTACGACTACTACTACGACTGCGACTGCCATTGCCGCGACGACGATTAGGTATACGACTGAAGCTGCACTAAATACACTGCCTGTACAACACTCGAGTGAACACTACTGGGCACTACTGCTTGTGCTACTGCTACTGCTCTCGTTCCTGTGACTCCTCCACCTGTGCTTGCTGCAACAACCACTCGCCACTACTTATAGTCGGAAACTTTGCCTGCGTGACATCAAACTCTCACTATATTTACCGCCTATCGCTGCCATCAGTAAGTGGAGCCGTGATAGGTAATCAGGCATCGTATTGCCAATGCGATCTCTATTAGCTGATTTCCTGGCAGGTTCTAGAGGGGTGGTGGCAAAAGGTGATGTGGTTGGCATCACACATAGATCTGAGTGTGCATCACGGCTTTCAAGCTGAGGGGCATCCGCTGCCGGTGGGGCCGAAAACTTCCGAGCTACTGGTGCCGCCTGGGTCAACGTGGAAAGCCAAAAAGAGTGCGAGAGAGCCAAAACTGGAGTCTTGGGTGCCAACATCGGATGGACCTCCCGGCACGCCCGCTTGCAAAGGGTGGGAAGCTTCTGCGAAGTGACAACTTGCGCTACACCTGCCGTCTCGCTTGGAGGAGAGCTCTCTTCTGGCGAAGGTTTCCTCGACGGCCTGACGACGAATGGAGAGCCGCCCCCCATCCAGTCCATCTCAAGTCGCTGGGGCATCCACCAGTGCATGGACGTACTACACCTCAGGGATTTACGGCAGCGAGATTTCTGTGACAGCACATCCTGTAGTTCTGGAAGCGGTGAGTACGATCATCCGCTTCAGATCTTAGGAACTTGCACGTAGGGCGTAGGGCCACCCGCGGGCAACCATTGCCACAAAACTTGCCCTTGAGGTGGCCCGGCGGTGTCAACAGAATTTGAGGTGCTGGGAAAAACGTGCATTGAAGCGTCTGCAGCACTCTTTCCAAGACTACAACACGCGGCCTGTCCTGTGAATAACTAACACATGTAGCCGCAGTGTCGCCTCAGAATATGCCACCGATTTCGGTGTGATACGGTGGCAATATTCTGTGGATCACCATTTAGCGTGCCTTTGTGGAGAACCGCCCTTTATGCCACATGGGGGTCACCCCGAAAGGATCCTCTACTGGTCACTGGTCCGACATTTCGTAAGGAAAAGTATTCACCCGGATCTGGCAAAATGACCGCAAAGTCTCATCAATAGCACATCATGTCTTCACAGTCGGAGTTTATTGTCGGGCTATGGGTATTCAGCTCTATTTTCATGTCCTCAAGCAGTTTGGCTCTTGTCACCGACCGGCACCGTGTGAAACACATGTGAGATACAATTTACTTAATAACTGTACGCCTGTACGCAGGGGCAAATCTTTGCCGAAGCTCGTCCGTTGTCGTCCAGCTTGCACCACTGCGACAGTAAGAACGCGGTCATCCTGAACCATGACTAAATGCCCATTGGCCCATACACAGGAGACTTGAAGTCTAAAGTGGTTTGACGGACTGCTGCGCTTGCAGACGCTCACTTTCGGAAGAGGCCATCTTCCCCAGTCTCTCCAGGAAAGGGCCTGATCATGTCCACTCGTGCTCAGCCGCTGCAGCGTTTCGGGTCCCAGAGAAGTCGTGAATGTAAGCTTCGCGCTTCGGGTGTCTGCCTTGGGCCTGGCCTCAGCCGAAGCTCACCAGACGGGCATCGCTGAAGGCTTGAGCTTGAAAACGTCTCAGAGCTGGGAGACTCTTCTAAATTCGCTTCCAAAATGTTCCAGACATTTCGTGGATTCAAGGCACCTGCATTCGACGCTCGCGATCAAAGCTAAAATGCGGCAGAACGTGGATTCGAGATCCCTATATAGTTAGCTTTATGTCAACGCTACCGCCGAACAGGCGAACGTGTCTGTCCAGATCCGCTTCTGTTTAAGGTCGTGACCGGACAAACAGCGCAGAGCTCGGAAGTCTCATGAAGTCCCGAAAGGACCTGAGCTGACAAACCAGGTTCGGCTCCTGTCTCTCAAGGTTTTCCAAAGCGACTTGACAATAACATCGTGCATGATCGTACATGATGAGAGGGTGCTGGTAAGATTTTGCGATAACGGCCACTACGACTTCCCATAAATGCTTGTCACGTGCTGTTTCCTTTGAGATCTTGCCGTCCGCCACATGCACAGGTGACATCCACAATGGGCGCCGTGGAAGAGGAGTCGGACGTGCTGACCTTCCCAATCGGAAGTTCGCTCACTCTTCGGGCCCTTCAAGGCTCCGGACAACATAAATAGGGCCCTAGGGCCGTGCAGGGCAGCACGAAAGAAAGGAGCAGCCTTCGCTGATCTTTTGGAGCTGTCTAATTCTGTCTCGTCTCCATCAGCAAAAGTGGCACGGGCATCTTCCGAGACTTAGCGTGTGGAGGCGATGTCCTTCCACTGGGCTTCGAATGTGTTCGACAAGTTGCGCCAGCGTCCTCTCACAGCATCCCAGTCTAGGTAGGCGCCGACAAAGTATCTCGAGCCCAAGAAGGAGGAGCGCGAGTGCATCACGCGCCAGTTGTCTGTACATATCATCTCCCCCGGCATAAGGCGCAGCGAGACATAGCGGGAACGATCCTCGACGAGTTTCTCGAACTTAAGCATCGCCTCATAGACCTTCTCTTCCTGCTGCAAGGATGCTCTGGGATTCCAGTGCCGCCAGGAGTCTCTGGCCCTTTCGTTGAAGTTCAAACGCCGCAGCTTTGAGGCGTCAGCTGAACCAGCGCCATCCAACTCAAAGATGGGATGCTTTGCAGACAGGAACCAGTCCTTGGTGACATCCTGAAACCCGATGGGGTGCTCGCAAAGCGTTTGAAATGCCTCCGGGTCCTGCTGACGCAGGGATTCTGCTGCTGCAAACCCATCCATGGCAATAGACTCGCCGCCTTCCTCCGCCTGCTGCAGGCAGTGAAAGAGTTGAATGCCTGGTGGTTGCTCGTTGAAAGGCAAATCCGTATGCATCTGCAAGCCAAGGCTGGAGTATGCCAAGTTGTTTGGGCTTGTGACGCTCTTGATTTGAAAGGTCTGTCCATAGACACTCGGAGCCAGGAACGTGCCCAAGCTCTGTGCGAATGCATGAACACCATCAAAAGGTTTATCTTCAGAACTCGGCAATCCGGCGACCAGCGCCAGTCCATGACTGTGCATTGCCTCGATCCACTTTCTGGCTACGGAGGGATTCTCCTGCAGATCCTTCCACTCGAAGCGAAGCGGTCCACGGCTGTCGCTCAGTTCACCTCGAACTTTTGCAGCTTCTTCACTGCCCCAAAGGACCTTCTCTTGGTGGCGGAGTTCATTTGACCACATTGTATCTGCAGGACGCGGAGGAGTGAAGTGGCCCACATGACCGTCCGAGAACTGCAGCCGGAAAGCGGGGCCTGAGTAGTCAGGCGACGAGAACTCCACTGGTGCTACGTCCCTGACTTGCAAGTCAAGCGGTAGGCAAAAGTCCAGGCGCTGCTTGGAACTCCCATCCCAGGCTTCTATCGTGTTTTCTCGCAGGAACTTCGGAAGAAAGGCACCAGCTTCCCGGCCATCGGGCCACCGCAGGGTCACGGCACGTTCCACGCTGGTTCCAGCAAAGCGACGCAAACCGTGCCCTAGCTTCAAGCCGCGCGCAAGCCGCTGCATGGCTGCCAGAGGCCCGAAGGTCGATAATGGGAAACTGGGCTGAAACCTTCGAGCCTTGTGTTGCAAAGCCTGTCTACTACCCTCGCACGTCAGGAAAGGTTTCAAGCGGTTCTGAGAGGCTCACCTGTCCAGCATCGACGTGACGTCCAAAAGCACACAGATATGGCATATGGCATTTCCGAGTACCAAGTTCAGAGGCAGCAAGACCTCGTCACCGATGTTGCAGAACGCTGCACAATCAGTTTAGTCACCACAGGCACTAGCACCGCGCCTCTATGCTCCGAGCAGAATCTGCAATTGCAGCTGAGCCAGACATCGGCAGGAGGCGGCGTCCTTCCACTGCTGCGAGCTTATTCATGTCAATGCCGACTTACCATACCCACGCTGCTGTCTGGGGTCCAAGCTGAGAATCCCAGCTCCGGAAGTGCAAGTCCGCCGAAAGTGTCACCTGCATGAGAGGCCGCAACGTGACAACAACGTCCATGCTCTCGGGGAGTGGCTCCAGTTTGTCCGTCCTCCTAGTCCACCGCGAACCGCGGCTCTTCAAGTTTTCACCGCCAATCTGATACCCTTCCTCAAAGCACCTCCGCGTGAGAGCTTGAAGTCGGGCTTTCAGAATCGAAGCTGTCAGCCCGGGAGTTGTCCTGCGATCACTTCACACACACCAAAGCATGGAATCTGAAGCCCGTGGCCCATGCTTGCCCCTGGCTTTAAGAGGTAGTAGCGGGCCTCGATCAACGCAGGAAGGATCCAAGCGACCTGCCAACCGGCCGCGGCGAATGAAAAGCGATGGAAAGCAAAAAAACAAGCCAGCTGCACAGAGCTGTCGTACCAAACTGCACATAGCCCGTAGCTGCTGCAGCTTCAAGTGGCCAGTCCTTGCTACCGTTGGGCAGCAAGGTCCAGTCAGCAGGCAGAGTTCCATAAACGAAAAGACGGCTACACATGCTTAAAGGATCTTGGGACTTAGTATACATATAGCTACTTATAACCCCAATTAAGGTACTTATAACCTTACTTACCAAGTCCCACGATCCTCCAAGTGAGGTCTAACTTGGACAGCTCCGGCCAGGAAAGCCTGGGCTCAGCAGTTTTAGCCTGGCGGCTCCACAGGTCGAGGAGTGGAATCCTGGCGGCCAAAGCTTGCAATCACCAATCCTATTTTTGTTATTCTTATTGTTATTATTATTATTGTTATTGTTATTATTGTTGTTATTATTATTATTATTATTATTATTATTATTATTATTATTATTATTATTATTATATTTTTTATTATTATGATTATTATGATTATTATGATTATTATTATTATTATTATTATTATTATTATTATTATTATTATTATTATTATTATTATTATTGGTATTATTATTGTTATTATTGTTATTGTTATCTTGGGGTTCCTTATTGTAATTATAGTATAATGGGCCCCAAATCACTATACTATTAAGGCCCCTATGTTGACGACTTGCTTCTCCCGGTGTCGCTTGCGCGCCTCGCAGGCGCCGATGCCGGGCTCTACCACGAAGCCGTGGAAGCCGCCGGGAATCGCTCGCATCCCTGGCCTGGTCGCAATGAGGGTTCAGGGTTTAGGGTTTAGGGTTCAGGGTTCAGGGTTTAGGGTTTAGGGTTTAGGGTTCAGGCTTCAGGGTTTAGGGTTAGGGTTAAGGGTTAGGGTTTAGGGTTAAGGGTTAGGGTTTAGGGTTTTAGGGATTCACAGAAGCATGAGTCAATGAGCACAGTTCATGGTACTGATGGTAACCATGTCTCGAAACTTGTAGCCAGCTCTTGATGCTTTCGGAAGTAGCATCTATCCTGACCTCTAAAGACCCAAAACCCTGGAACTCCTCAATTCGACATGCAGAATCCGAGATGCCACAGCACCTGAACTGTGTTTGAAGGCTTACCAATAAAGCCGCGGTAGAACTGACCCCACGAAACCCTCTTTAGAAACACAAGCCCTCTGAAACCCTCACAAAACCGTCATGAAACACCTTGTTTCTTGGCTCTGAACCTTCGGCCTAAACCCGAAAACCCAATACCGGGTGCACGGCACATCATCCAGCTCTGATGCACCGGCCGAGGCCAAAAGTCGAGCAGTCCTGCAACGTGCCACAAATTCCTAGCCTCATCACGTTTTTGGCTTGAGGGTTTTCCTGTCTGCAAGCTTTAGCATTCGGACTTCCCAAAGGGGATGAGTCTGTATCTAGCCTCATCTTTAGGGCTTAGGGTTTCGGGTTAGGGCCTAGGGTTCTGGGGAGGAAGACTGAATCGTCTGATACAGAAAAAAGGGGGCAATAGACAGCAGTGATAGTCATGCAATGTCGCATCTTGAGGGACAGCAAGCAGCAATCTACAAGACACTAACGCGACAGTAAGAGTCTGGGTATATAGGGAGTAGGGCTGGGATACTACAGGCACACATGACAGCGAGAATGGAGAATGGTCAGTTGTTCGGAGGTTGCCCTTTGCGAGGGTTGAAAGCTTCAAGCACTCAAAAGCTCAACGGCAGTATTCTTTCTTTGAGTGTATAGTCTCTTGAGCTTCCGCACCCATAACATCTACCGGAAACGTCACATCCAACCTCTGCGCCGCTCTGAACTCTAAGCAAGACCATTGCCATGATACAGCCCTGCGCAAGGTCCTTCCTGCACTTCTCAGTCGTGCACCTGCAAGAAACTCTAGATTCAAAAGCTTGATTCCTGACTCAAGTATTGGTCCGGAAGATGCACCTGCACCCCCGCGACATCCGAGAAGATTCGCAATGAACGCCTGGCAGATTTTTTCATACTTATGAAACCGGTTCCCACCGCAGCGCAGCCGACCTCCACCACCTCCAGCAAAGAAGCCTGGACAGCGCAGGCACACTGCAGGCACTTTTGCTGATGCCAAAAACAAAGAAACCGGCAGCAGGCCTCGAGGAGCAGCCAAGAAAGACCCTCCAGGCGTAGCGCCTCTCGTAATAGAAAGCCCCAGTCTCTCGCTGCCGCGAGCGGCCTCTCACAGAAGGCATATCGTTAATGGCGGGACCTTGGCTGGATCGTCGACTCCCAGAACGTGGAAAGCCTCAGCTGCACATCTCCGAGCCTACGAGCCTACTCTTCAGATTCTGCCACATTCATTTTCATTCGCAGCGATGAGCCAAAGAGTGCTATGTCACATCTTTGAGGAGGGCTCGCACGGCCAAGTAGTTGGCAGGTGTGACTTGCCAACTTGCTTCGTATATACACATACATATGTCGAGCACTCTTACGTTCCAGCAAGTTCAAGCTACTCAGGAGGCAATCCGGCAGTCGGCTCAGCAGTATTCCCCACTGGTGCTCAAGGTAAGCCTTCGCAGCCGTGAAGACCGAGGCATAAGACATCAACATGAAGTGGATGCGCGGGTACAGGACCAGTTTGGTCTGAGACTCAGTGATATCCACGTTCAAGCCACTTAGGGGGCAATCAGGCAGTCGGTTCAGCAGCATTCCCCACTTGTGCTCATGGTAACCCTTCTCAGCCGAGATGACCGGGGCAGAGTACGTCAACATAAAGTGGACGCAAAGGTATGGGACCGAAAATAAAGGACCAAAGGCTCCTGCCAGGGCAGAGACATCTGCCGCATCCATCACGAAGTAACGTAGGTCCTGAAGCGAGTGGTCAACTGGTTGTTCATCGCCAGCTCCGTGCGAGAATACTTGGTCGACGTGGCACGCCAGCTCCGTGCGAATGCTTGTCGAATACTGCATGATTCTGACGACGACCCTGACGTCCTTCAACACTCGAAAGGAGTCCCACAACAATGATTTCGTGATCTCACCCGTCACGGACACGTCCAACCGCGCTGCAGTGGAGGTGTCTACGCAGCAGCTTCAAGCCTGCCGCAGTGATGAGGCAGAAAATCGCCGGCACGATCAGAGACACTCGCCAGGCAGTGTCCGCTGCCATGCCAGAGTGAATCCTTAGTTCGGACACTACCAAAATCAAAAGGATCCGCGTGATACCGTGCCCCAGATTTCCCCATCCGGTTGCTGCGGCGGTCGCAGTTCCAATCACATTGAGCACGACCCTCAACGAACACCTGAACTGGTTGGCCTCGAGTCACGAAAGTAGCTCCTATGCGGCAGATGAAGAAGCGAGTCAGTGCATAATTCCAGGAAGCGTAACTGGCCGCAGCCGTCACCACCCAGATTGCTCCGAAAGTAGGCAGGCCGGAGTGCCCAGGACGATGCGAGCAAGGATGCTGGAAGCAACAGCTGCAACACCTGCGTTAGCAATCATGGTGCACACACAATTGGCCATGACTGGCGGCGCATACGTACTCCTGGCATCAGCGGTTGCAGTGGCCATGCTCATGACGGCAGCTGGATCTGCTGCACAGTCGGTGATGTCATCACCATCCTCCACCTTGCGTACTTTCGGTACTCCAGACCTGTGTTGAGGCCTTGGTACTTCAGATAAGCCATCCGCTTGGGACATTCAGCAGGTGAGAGCTTCTGATTCTCACACATATTGATGCTGGTGGCCACCTCCATTCTCAATGGGGCCATGACGAACCCCTGCGGGGGTCCTGGGGCGCTACGATGTTCTCCCGCTGGTGGGAGCGATTCGGGCCCTGCTTCTGCCACAGATAGACAAACGCCACGAAAGCCGACGCAGAATCTCAGCAGAATTATCTCGCCTCGATAGTTGCTGAGGTGAGGACTTCGGGCTTTATGGGCACCGGAACACTCACTCACACTGGGGCCCACAGCTGGTTACTGGCATCCGGACAGTTTTGCTCAGCCGAAGAGCCCGAGGTTCTGGAGTCACCAGGTCACACTGTCGAGACGGGCCCTTGAACAGGGCTCCTTTAAAGAGATCTATAATTAGGGTTCCTATAAGGGCTATTTTAGGAGCCTTAACTAGTTAGCCTGTGGCATAATCTGGAGGTCTACGCGGCAGTATGCTGTGTGCACCATCTTTTGGAGAGTCATCTCTGGTGAACTGACGAGTGCTACTTCAAGCTTTTTGTTGTTCGCGCTTCATCAGGAATTGCCGCTCTATGATACGTTCGATAAAACGGTGGAACAGCTTGCAAGAGGGTTTCTTGATGGCCTGCACAAACGCATCGACAGCAGATGCTGTCCCCAGCTCCTCTGTGCTGATGAGGCTGCCTGGGGCCGGGGCGTTGCGTTCCAGATTCCTGGGAAGGAGCTCTTTAAGAGGTCGGGGCCGAAGAAGAGGCAGTCTCAGAGTGTCAGTCCTGTCTTCTGGGCCACGAAGGTTCGTAATCTTCCGTCGCGCCATGCGAAGCAAAGCCACTTCGAAGGCCAAGCCTGAGAGAGCAGCTGCCCCCCGAAGCAGGAGAAAAAGGGCCGCAGGGTGAAAGTCTTAGGCCCAAGCCTCCGGCGATGAGATCACAAGGTTCCTGAATCACAGCAGCTGAGATCCAGCATGCAAGTAGATTCTTAGAACGACGACAGAAAGCGAAGTCGAACTTTGGCCCTGAAGTCCTGGAATCCGTGCAAGACCACCAGCAAGAGACGAAGGATTGCCAGTCGATGCTCGATTGCCAAACCTCAAAAAATGAACGCAAGGGAGTTTGGGGTTCCTTATACTGAGAATCTTACTATTTAGGGTACTATATTAGGGTCCCCTATTTGAAGGAAAGTCCCATATAAAGATAAAGACACCAGAGCCGCCCTCAGGTTAGGCGACCCACACTCTGCGGATCCATGCCAGGCCCCTGGCTGCTTGAGCTCGCTTGGAGCAGCAGGCAGCCTGCAAGGTGCAAGAGCTTACGCCCTATGACGTTCCCGACTTCAAACTTCTGGGTAACCTGAAGGAAAGTTGGGCAAACGTGCCAGGCGAGCTTGCGGGAGTGCGGTTGCTCTCTGGGCTCAGATCAAGGAGCCAGTAAGCCTGCGTTTGCCAGAGGCAGAAGGACTTCGAGAAGACATCGCTCTCTGAGGCAATGAGCGTCCAACTCGAGATCCTGCCAGCCCTTCCGAAGATTTCTGCAAGGGCCTGGGCTTGGTGCACACTTGTCAAGGGCCAGCCTAGAGATTGGTGTAACCAAAGTCGAGCCTGAACGAATCAAGCTGGAACCCTGCAGCTTTCAAAGAGGCCACATCCTCGGAAAGCGAGGCAAGGACTCGCTGGACGTTGGCTACAGCTGGCATCCTGCCGACTCCAACGCTCTCAGGTTGCGGCATCGCTGCCCAAACGGACCCTCCGCGTGATGCCACAGCGCGCTTCCAACACAGCGAGCTCCTCCGAACGAGAAGCCGAAGGAAGCCAGTTGACAAGGAGGAGGAGAAGGAGGAAAGGCAGTGAAGGGCCTCCTCATCAACCAAATGCAGCACCGCAATCCCGCGCTGGGACAGTGAGCCTGTCCACTCCTGTTTCATGGGCAACGGAAGGACTTCCAGTGGAAAGCCAGCCTCCGGTCTCACAGGCCTCGTGGACGTGCGCTGCGCATAGAACGAGCCGAATGCCTGCCTGGTACCATCAGAAACTCTGGGCACGAATGCAAGGCATGCCTTGAGCATTGGCATCGGCAGTCCCAGTCCTGCCAAAGCTGCTCCGTGGCCACGACCAATCGTTTCTCCAGCCTGCAACGAGTTAAACTCACCAGAAACATACGGAGCCACAACCGACTCAAAGAAGTCCTGTCAAGGGCAACAGCTGGCATGGCGACGCGAACCTCAACTGCTGAGCCCGAGTAAGCCTACTGATGCTTGCGGAGGGTCCCACAGAAGTCTCGGCTGGCAGCTGGCAGGGGCGCAACATCGTCGTCTAGGATGACGGCCCTGCCCTGACACTCTCTGGGCATGCTCGAGCTCGCCAACCTTGTTCCGAACTCGGAGGGTAGTGCCGGTGCGGAGTCGGAATGTCTTCGTTGCGCCGAATACCGGGGACCATGCACGCCAGAAACTACCACAGCTCTCTCGACCCTTGCCGAAGAAGCACTGCCTTCCGGCTTCGCACAAGCAAGAATTATACGGGGTGGATCACCCTTCGGCAGCAGCAAGGACTGTTGCACAAAATGTCGCACCTGCTGTCTCTTGCATCGCTGGACCCGCACTGGGCACCTTTTCGCGCAGGTCGTTCAGCTCTACGAGAATCGGTCATGAGATTAACCCAGAGTTCTGAGAAGTTGGCTTTAACAAGCTCCCCGCTCCGAAGGGATGCGGCGGCCGAAGCAACGACTTCTTCGGCAACTGCAGCCTGCAAGTCCATTGCCGCACGTCTCTTCTGCGCTAGTATATCCAGGCAGAAAGTTCCATGATGCCTTGTCCCCGTCAAGAGGAAGCGAGCCGTTGTCACAAATCCATCGCCAGCCTTATGCACCAGTCCAACATGGTCTTACGTGCTAAGTGTTGCCAAACACACCCCAAAGCCTGATTTTAAGTCGGGTGGCACGCTCTTGACAGAACTCCACAAACCTTCGGTCTACCAAACAGGCACGCACTGCGAACCAAAAGCAGCCACCTGATGCTGTTGGGACACCTCCGGGGGAAAATTCGCACCGAAGAAGGTTCGTGCCAGGTCAGAGAAGCGCTTCTCTGTAGACGTATCTGTTCAGTGCTTTCACTTCCACCATTCAGAGCAAACTGCCGGGAGCGAAACGAACCTCCTGAGCATCGAAGGCCCTGTAGCACTTCTGCAGCGTCCTCTCGCAGCACGATTGCCTGGTCTGCTGCTTCGGGTCGTCGCAGTCGCAGAAACAGGCGCAGTTCCCTCGTGAAGTAGTTATTCGCTTGACACGCCCCATCCCCTGCCTCAATGTACGATAGGCAATGCTCCAAGTCCTCGAGGAGTGGCTCGGTGCAACCAAGAGCAGCTGTGGGAAAGCAGAACGGGCTGCCGCTCCTGTCGCCGCGCTTTGCCCTCCCGCAGCCAAGAGCTGCAGACTCGGACAGCACCCGCAAGAAGCAACGCCTGCGACGCACAAAAACCTCATTGACCTGGACCATGAGCAATCCAGCAACGCATGCAAGCGCAAAAGAGCAGCTGAGAGGCCGGCAAGTGTGCCTGCTCCATCTCCCACATCCTGGAACATAGTGGCGAACATCGACTGCCTACCAGAATAACACTGCTATTGCAAGTCTTTCACGTCCTGGGCAAACTTGCAGATGTGGCGCAGGACAACCTCCGAGCACGAATGCACTGTCCTAAAATACTCTGTAACTGTGAATATGCTACGATAAACACTAATATATATATATATATATATATATATATATCATGATAATACTAATACTAATACTAATACTAATAGTAATATTAATACTAGTATTGATATATACATTATAAACTTTTTATAATAGTACCAAAACCTGCCCCGAAAAATCAGACTCGGAGCCTTGGCGATGGGGGAGCCCGGCCGAGCCAGCTCGAGAATCCTTGCAGCCTGCCCCAAAAGCAGCAAGGACTGTGTCGTGCCTTTTCCTTACCTTTGGTTAGTAGGGAATGGAACATGGTAGTAATAGTAGTTATAACTGTTCCCCATTCCTCCATTCCCTACTAACCCAAGGTAAGCTTTTGGGTCTCGCGCGGAATTGGTGACCAACTTCTGTCTCTCCGTGACGATGAGCTGATCCTTGCCGCAGGGCCCATACCTGCTTAGTTAGCCGGCAGGCGGATTAGCACGTGACTAGCGCACTGTGTGGCAGTGAAGAAGCAGGGCACGAGATTCTCACTGCTGCGGCGATGGCCTGGAAATCGCGATATACTTCTGTTAGATGCTATGCCAGGAGTAGTGTTCCAGCTTTGCGGAGACCTGCCTCCACACTCGTCTCGATGGCGTCCATTGCAGAAATCTCTGAGCCCAAGATCCCAAGCAGTTTCCGTACATCTTACATCTTTGCAGTTCACCGCTTCACGATGGTTGCTGATGGCATACAGGGTAGAGTGCAGCGGAAGCCCAATTGCCATCAGCAGCCAAACACAGCATTCCCCATCCTGTTCTACGGGTGCGTCACCTCCAAAGCGCGCCTGTCGCGCCATGCAGTCGCAGCCGTGACATACCATCTGGCAGCAGGGCCGAATTACGAATAGATTGCACTGGACAGGACCTCCTTCCCGCAGAGGCTAAAATGAGCATTCCGACACGGGAATGCTGTGAAACTGCACTGAATTGTGCTTTCTGCACCGAATTGGGACATGGCCATGCGGAGAGCTAGACATGGCTATGCACTGGCTGCACAAAATCGGTGTAAATCGAAACTTAGCTAGGAGTACATGAACGCTGAAGCTCATATGCTGGGAGTTCAGCACGGGCTGTTGCCGTCTAGGCCCCTGCCTGCAAGACATGACAACAAAGCAGGTCATGCAAGTCCACCGAGGGTTTTCGCTGGATTTGACACACCCGAATCCTCAGTTCTCCATCAAAGGCTCTGTAAGGTTACATCTTGCATCACTTCTCCCCTTCGACAGTCGTGCACGCGAAACCCTGCGATGAACCAACCTACAACAGAAAGAAGAGAACCACCGCGACTCCTCAAAGATTCATCCTGGGACCGCGGCTTTGCGCTTCTTGCCTGTCTGTTTCTCTGCCTCAACATGTTCATAAGCGGTCGGATTAGTCTGACGCCTGACATGCAAGCTTTGGCACCTGCTTCGAAGGCTTCTCAGGCTTCTCCTTCTCCTTTTCGTGTTTCTTCTCCGGCTTCTCCGGCTTTTCGGCCTTGTCATGCTTCTCCTTCTCGGCCTTCTCGTGCTTCTCCTTCTCCCGTTCGGCTTTGTCGGGCTTCGGCTCTTGCTTCTCCTCCTTTGCATCCTCTGTCGCCTCTGCACCGCCCTTTTTCAGCGAAGCGACTTGCACCAGGAGATCCTCACACAAAGGCCGAACAGGGATCAATAAGCAAGCGACGACCACACGAGCCACCAAGCCCTGATTTCCCGGTGATTCCTGCAAGATCCGAGGGTGCTTGGTAATCTCCGGGCTGCTGCACACTTGCATCATTTCGGCAGGCTTCAGCGCGAGCCTCTGCAAACTCGATCGGAGCACTGCTGTTTCTCTGTGAAATCTTCGAGCCTCTCGGTGATCTTCTCACGCAGAAGGCCCAATCCAAACTCCTCGCACCTATCCAAACATGGTGATAGCAAAGAAGCTGATGTGTTTTTTGAGGCGCAAGCGTTACGAGTCGATCCACAACATTCTCCGTAGTCAAGCCTTTGGCAAGCCACCTGGCCTCAAGTGCAAACACTGGATCTCAAAGACGGCAGATGCATGTCCGTTGCCCACCGCATGCTCGTGCAGCTGCGCAAAGCCGAAGTATGTTGCCAAGCGCAAGATCTCCTTGTTCACCTGCCCAACGCAAGGCGAACTTGAAAATGTTGCACGCCGACTCGCAGTGATGCAGCCTGCGCACTCGTAGCTTTGTATTCCCAGCTGGCCTGAGCAAGGCTCAAAGCAGAGAAAAAAACGAAGCGCATCACGAAACACTGAAATCATCTCATTCTTTGAACATGTATGAGGTTGGTGCAAGCGCCCTCAAACAGTACTCTGCAAGTCAGCTGGTGCCCGCACAGCTGCACTGCCCTTGTAGATGTAGTCAAGGAGGATGTGCATCGCCTTTCGACTTCTCTGGTGGAGCCGGCGAGCCAGACTTCACCGTTCCCGCCTCCGAGGAGGAGAGCCCGTTGACCTGAACCCGAACCTTGTCCGCCTGCAAAGGTCTGGAAAGGAGAGCTTGGAAGTCTCAAGGCCAACGGACCTGGCCTTCGTCTTCTCGTCGCTTGTGGGACTAGTTATTCCGGGGCTTGGCGCGGGGGCGGCTTCTTCCGGCCTGGTCGCTTTTGACAGCGATGGAAGCCGCATGCTTGTCCTAGGGCCGCGACTTGCAAGCTTCCACCTCGACCTCCATGGGCGCTTCCGCTGTCGCCTGTGAGGCAAGCGACAAACACAGCGGAGTTCGAAACAGAGAATCAGAAAGACATCTGCCATCTGCACAGACTGAATGCCTCATCGGAGCGTTTGCCAGCTCCATCCATCCCAGGCTCCTGTTTTGCATGAAGGCTCCAACCCAAAGTGACCCCTGCGACTTCGACTCCGTCCGCCTCCTTCGGCTGGGAAATGGCCTCTGTCTCGGGGACCTCTGTGACTGCTTTGGGGTCTTCTCCCCCTTCTCCTGCACACAGTTTCATACAGGGGCCTTAGTGATTAGAGTAGGGTTTTGGGGCCCATGATACTACAATAATAGTCAGGAACCTACAAAATAGTATAGCTAATTAGTATAAGGCCCCATATATGATACTATATTTCTAATGAGCGCTCGGAAGGAGGCGGCCCCGGGCCTGCGGCTGTGGGGGGCGCGGCTGCCACTCGCGCCCCGGCCTCGTGCTTCCAGAGAAAGGCGGCCTAGGGGCCCATTATCTTATAAAGTATATTATGTTTTGTGTTGTATAATATATAGTATACGATATCATATATTATACTATATTATATAGTATATTATATTGTATGATATATAGTATATTTTATATTATGTTATATGGTGCCCGGAAGGATTGAAAAACGGCCTCCGCCGACGCCGGCGGGCTGGTGGATACAGTCGTGAACAGCTCCTGAAAGGCTTGGATTGGACAACTTGCGACAGTTCATGTGCGGCTACTTGGCCAAAGATGCGTGTCAGGTGCAACACGGTGTAGCGTTGTTGTTTGTTGTCTGGATCTGTATTCTGCAACATGCTTCTATCGCGTGGTCAGAGACCATGTTGATGTGCCACTTGCCTCCATTTCGTGGCCAGGAGCCGAAGGCTCTTTGAGTCCACGCCTCGGAAAGACAATAATGTCTGCTCACCTTGGTGAGATAGAAAAAATGTGCATTGGATTGAGATCGCGGCATGGACGTCTGCCTCAAGTACTTGCAGAAGTTTGGGCTGCTTGCAGCCAGTACCACCTTCGACTTTGCCACTCTTCTCAAATGTCGACATCTCCGCATCTATTCCTTTTGCTGATGAGCTCAGCGCAGCATGAGCTTCAATCTGCTCTTCGCATGTGAGAAACACAATATCGCAGCCTGGCCAGCGTTCTGCGTTCGGTAGTGTTTTCCATGGTTCAATGCCGAAGAGACCATCCAGGGCACTGGCATTCTTTGCTGTCGAGCAAGCTCTGCAATCCTGCCAGAGCGCGACAGGTCCTTTGGCACTAGCCCCGCATGACAGAGGCATCTCGGTCCATCAAGCATGTTGGCGCTTGCCCGGGCTGCTCGGATATCAAGATCCATAGGCGTTGAGCCTCGTTGGAACTACAACTCAGGCCTGGGCCTTCTCTCTGATCGGTGAGGCTCCAAAGAATCACAAGCCAGTGCAGCTTCGGCACCAAGGGATGGCACAGCATCGGCCATTTTCTCTGCCTGAAACTGGGACTCAAAGAGCCAACATCGTTGTTTGCTATTGTACTGCCTCCGCCTACCACATCCATAATTGCAAGAAACACCACCGCAGCCCTTTAGCACCACCGGCGCACGATAACCACTATGTCTTGGCACTAGAGTGAGCCCCCGTACGACCCAAGCTTTAGATCTGATAGTGATATAGGAACGTGACCTTTCTGGTTTTAATTGGGTTGAGCGTGACGATGGTGGTGGCAATTAATCCTCATGCTACTCCTATTCTTAGCCATCTTGCGAACTGCTCTTGCTCATCCTGTTCTTGGTGTTCTTGTGGCTGTTCTTCTCGTTGGTGTTGTTTGCTGTAGTAGTTGCTCTTGTGGCATCATTGCTGCGGTTATGTCGATCCCCCTATGGGCTCCTCGGCAGCCTCAGCGCGGCCCTTGTGCACGTGCTGCGGAGTTCCCCACCTTGGCCACAGCATGTGGTCCAAACGGCTCAGATTGTAGAGTCCAATGGGACGTGGATGATCTGGGGGATGTCTGGGGGACAATGCTTTGCTGGCTTAGTTTGCTGCGGATTCGTACACTCTGTGACACCTGTCATTCAGCATAAAAACATTGCCCCGCTCTCGTCTCTCAGGACGGCACCACATTGCGACAACAGGACCTTAGGAATATGTACTGCAAGAACAGGCCACTCGCAGCACTCTCACTGCCAGTCCTCACTCCACATGGTACTGCATAATGACCTACTGTCATCTCCTGGGCGCGGACCGGCAAGATCCAAAATGAAGCCTTCAACCCGACTTTGGGCCACAACGCTGTGACAGATCAGCTGCAGCTCAAGATAGCTCAAGCTTCATGCGGCATCGAAGAGGCCCGTCTGACCGCACCAAACCGCGAGGCAGCTGTTGTCTTCGAAGCGGCTTAGCGCCATGCTGTTGGTGAGACAAGTCGGGTGGGAGCCCAGATCCAGCAATCGAGATCAGAAATCAGCGCCTCAAACCGCTCCTGGTACTGAGCTAGCCCGTTCATCACCTAGGCTTCGCGCACCTTGACGTCAAACTTTCGCGCGGCAGCCTGCAAGATATGCACTATTTTCTCACCAGGAAACTACGGCTGGTCTTTGGCAAAGGCCTTCGCAAAATCTGTCGCAGTTTCCTTGGCCCAAGACTGTATACCAATCACCTTGCAGGGAATCTTGAGATGGGCGTGCAAGTTCCAACATGCAGCTGTCTCTGTCTGTGGCCTGGTCCAGCCCAGCAGCCGTCACTGCATCAGTCACCAGATCCTGCAGCTGTCTTTAGGGGAGGGCGGATGCTCTCAGATGACAAAGCGAAGGCAACACCGGTCCATGGCAAGTTCTCGAAGCTCCTGCAAGCAACCGGCAACCGAGTTCAGCTTTCCGGATCTGCTCAGCCGCTCAATGATTACAGTATCACGGGCTATGCATACAGAAGGTATACAACCATGGAACTTCCACACACCCATCCAGGTAACGCAACCATGATTCATTGGATCACTGAGAGCGAGAGCAGAGAAGCCCATGAACTATGCGTGTCGTTCTCGAGAGTCCCCAGAAAGGTCACACAGCCGTCAATTGGACAAGACAAGGGTTGAGCACGGGATGGACCTGCATTCTAGATGTTCGGGAACTCGCATTGCATGGCAACTTTGACATGCAGGTTGAGCACAGAAGATGCGAAGGCCGGAGACCACCAATGGCGCATAAACAGCAAAGCGGGTAGCCACACTCAAGGCATCTTACCGACTGTGGAAGATGTCCTGTCGAGTGGATCCGAACGACCTTCAAATGCCGACATCCTCCATGCCTTGTTTTCCAGGAATCCTTTCCGAGAATCCCAATAAGCCTCAAGCCCAAGCACAGGCCAGCTCTCCAGCTCGCACCCTTTGCTCCACAGTGGAGCGGAGATTCAGCTCGACATACAAAGATGACCCGCAGCATGACTTCCCGCCTTCTCGCCCAGAGTCTCGCCCGCCTTGAGGATGACTCGTCTCTCGATCGAGATCCTAGACGCGGCGTGCAACTTGCATGGGTTCGTCTTTGCTGCATCAGGATAGAAATGATAGAACCTACAAACCCTGCCTGAGGTTGCTGATCATCTCAGCCGCTTCCTGAGCATCTGTCAGCCTGCAATCGAAGGCACGCAGTCAATGTACTAGGGCCGAGTTTTGCAGGGCTTAAAGAGCGCATCCGACCTTGTGGGCAGATCGGAAGGCGTGACTGCTTCACCGCTCAGCCTGAAGATTTTGGAAAAAGGAAATTCTGGGCACTGCTGCCTGCCTACATACAGCAAATGCCTCTGCGATGCGTTGCTGACCAGCTCCTAGTCCAGTCAGGTCGCGAGGTGAGAAGGCTGCAAACCCTACATCCTGCCCTATCTCGGAACGCCAAAATCCTTGCAGCTGCCCAATCGACAGTTTGAGGATTTTGAACTTGCCGAATGCCAAGATAAACTCCAACATGGCCCCGAATTGAGCACATGGACGAGTGGCTTTGGCCGTCCTTTCCGCGCCTGAGGTCGTCAGCATCACGTCCATCCACCTGGCACGATTCGAACGTGTCTGTGCGGCACCTGTCCATGCAACTCTTGGCAAACGGTAGCCAGTCGCGGTACCAGTACTTTAAGCCAGACTTCAGTTCCCATCAGCTTGGTCAACTTTGCCGCCTCTGGCCGCACAGGGAGCCGGGAGCTGCTCTCCTTACTGGCGAGATTCGAGTCGCTTTGCATAGAAAGTACGAGTATATACGAGTATCGATAGACCGCATCTCGCTAGAGCTCACTTCTGGCTCTGCAGGAGACTTCGGGAGACTTCGGAAGATCCGGCACTCCCTTACTGGGTGCAAGGACCGATCGCATCCACTCGCCTTCTGGTATGGCCGCTTCGATGGCCTGGCGATGAAAGCGACATGGGAGAGGGGATCCAAGAGCAGGGTGAGGGTGAGCCGGGCGCCTTTTTGCCAAAGGTATTTGACATCTTGTGCGTGAAGCGATGAGCGCATAGTCTGCTCTGCAAGGTTGCATAGGGCGTGGCTTCCAAGAAAGCCTGCAGTCAGAGCCACAATACGAAGAAGCCTTTGAAGGGACCGCTGAGAGGGACGGCTTGGGGCCTGCAAAACCTTCACAGGCACGGAGTATGTGAACAGGTCGGCCGTTGAAGCCTCGGGCAAAAGATAACGAGGTGGCGACGCACAAGAAACGATGCTTCTATAACGTCTATAACCAAAAGTGCCAGATTTGCGAAGCTCTGACTGCAGCCTGGGAGATCTCCGCAGTCTTCGCTGCTACGGCAGACTCTACCTGGACTCAGTGCAGGATGAAGCCGACAGCTGCGGAGTGGAGTCTCGAAGAATGCTCCCTGCCTGCGAACTGCTGGCATCAGGACACCTGCACAAGAAATTTTCGTGCTGCTGGATGTCATGCAGAGAGGATCCTGGAGCAGCCTCGTCCAACGACTGCAGCGCACCGCTGTGACGCGTGCATCCGCAGCCGCCCGGCGCAAGGACGGGAGCAGCGTAGAGGTGTACCTCTCGCCGAGTCGATGCTTCAGACATCCCCAGCCTGCTGCGGCCGCAAAAAACGCCGCCGCCTGGGGCTCCAGAGCTGGCCCGGCGCTAAGAAGGAGACCCAGGTCTCAGAGGCCTTCGGCGACGAAGTCTCCCGCTAACCGTCGAGATTTTTACCCTCTTCCCACTTGGAGGATCGTTTGATTTTGACTTCGTAAGCGAGGTTATAAGTACCTTAGTTGGGATTATAAGTCAAAAGTTTGGCTACCCTAGTTATAGCCCTAGTTACTAAGTCCCATGATCCTTTAAGTCACCCCAAGAACCCTCTTTATAGAACCCTCGTAGATCCCTATTAAGGAGCCCTTTAAGGAACCCTATAGTTACTAAGTCCCATGATCCTTTAAGTCACCCCAAGAAGTCACCCTAAGAACCCTATAGTTGCTAAGTCCCTAAGACCCCTCTTATAGAACCCTTATAGACTTATAGATCCCCTATAAGGAGCCCTCTGAAGAGCCCTATAGCTACTAAGTCCCGTGATCCTTGAAGTAGACCCTAAACCCTAAACCCTATAGACCCCTTCAAGGAACCCCTATAGATCCCTTTTTAGGAACCCTTTAAGGAACCCTATAGTTACTAAGTCCCGTGATCCTTGAAGCAGGGGATGCTAAGGCTCAGGCGGCCTCGTCCGAAGGCACCACGGCCAAGGCTGCCTTCGGAGCTCCACAGGGTCTGTTATATACTTGTCTATAAAGCCACGAACTTCATTATATAAGATATATATATATATACACAATTTATGTAATATATATATATATATATATAATATAACAAAATACATATAATATGATATGATATAGCAAAATCAACATAATATCATGTAATACAATATGTATATATATATATACACACACTTAATATAACTACATGATATTATGCTTCTTTTGTCCCTGTCCTTAACGTGCTCGAAGAAGCTGATCTGGTGTTTGGACTCAGAGGAAGAGAGCGGAACCTGCGAAACAGCAAGCCTCAACTTGTCCACGCTCAGGCGAGTCTGATTCATTGGGCCTTGGAGGGCCGATCACGAACCTGGCCCAACTTGGAGGAGACCTGCCAGCCACTCTTTCCATGGCTTTCGGCTGCAGCAAGGCCCTGTCAGCTTCAACTCTTGCGAATGGCTTCGAGTGAGGTTGTCTTCGAGTCAACGTTGTGGCCTAGACAGAAGCCGCGAAGGCGTGAGAATCCAGGACAGTGGCACTACAGCTAGTCCAGAACGCGGCCACAAAGGGACATCACGAGCATCATCGGGCCGCGGTTTCTAATCGGAGCGCCCGAACAGCTCTCAAAGAGGTTTCAGAACTCGTGTCCCTGACGGGTCCAACAAACCAAACTCAGCCGCGGGTGCAGTCAAGCACCCCCGGCTTCCGAGCCCTGCCTGCCCTTCAGTGTAAGTACCCATTGCCACATGATTACGTGATATTACGTGCCTCCGTGGAGAGTTCCTCCGAGTCCGCGTACCAGCTAATGTACATGCCCCTGAGCTCCTCCTGCGAAGGAAAGGGTTAGCCGCTTCATTCGGGAGACCGCCCTCCTTAGCCCAGCCGGCAGCCGGCAGCCTGCTCAGAGGCTGCATCCAGCGTGGCTGAGAAGGCGTCCAACTCACCATCGCAGCCACAAAATTCTGCACAGACCTGGTCGCTTGGCCCCACAAGGCCGGGCTGTTGGTTACATGCATAAGGATCATAAGGGCTGGTTCGGATTTAAGCACACTTTTTCTGAATCTTTGAGCATCTTTGCGCCCTTGGACACTGCTTTCTCTATGCTGGAAGCTGCGCCTGCCTTTTTGGCAGAAGGCAGATGTTTGCAGGTCAGGGCTCCCACAACATCTCCTGGATTCCCGCTCCACTAAGCTTGACAGGCCTACAACAGGACCTTCCCCGCAGCCTGACTGTACCGACAGGCGGTGAGACTTTGGCTACACACCAAGAACCCAAGATCTTTGCTGCATTCGAGCTGTCTAAGATCCTCGAAAAGCATATCAGCGTAGTTATAGTTTAGTTTAAATATATTTCCTTTAACTTAATGGTTAATGATATTAATGGCATGCATGGACGCACTCTCACTGGTTCATCACAGGCAAGCCGAGCAGTATGGCCTGAGTGAAAGCTTCTCACACGAATTATTGGCTCTGCCGCGCATACCACTCGGATACATCAGCCTGAGCCCGGGCACCAGAGAGACAAGCACTGAAGGAGCACTTCTTCGCCATGCATGGTTGCACTTGACTTTGCACCTTGCCGCTGGCACGTGCATTTGTCAAAGACGGAATTGAGGGAATCGGGCGAAACGGAACCGCTGGGCCCGACACTTCGGGCTGGCCCGCTTCACTGTCAGGCATCGAGATTCAACCGCAGCATCCAGACCTTGCAGCGTTGAGACATGAGAGCTTCTGCTTTCCGACTTTCTGAGCCGGGGTCGTCGTGGCCCGAACACTTCAGCTTGTTGGCGCAGTGCACGACACACATCATGCCATCACAGTTCGTGTCATCGGGTGCAGTCATCGCTTCCTGTGGTGGGAAACATGAGAAGCCCGTAAATATAGCCGACGTCTCATCCTAAGGCAGACACCCGTACTGCTCTGTCGACTGCGCTAAGGTGATCGACGGAGTCACATTCTGACGCGTCGCCTGGCCAGCGACAGCAGCAGAAACAGTCACTGCAATGCGTTACAGGTCGGGCAGGCCGCCGAAAACGTCGCATCCTGATTTCGCAGCTTGTCGGTGTTGCATCGTCGTCGCTTGCACAGTATGAGGCGCAGGCCAAGCAAGCATTCGCACACCTTCGCCGGCCCTCCCTCACACCTCAGTCCCAGTGAAGCCGACACTCTTGGGCCCTTGAATTGGGAGCTGCAGGGGAAGTGCTCGTGAGTTTCCTCGGCACGCCCCAGCGAGCAGAGCGCGAGGAGGGCCTCAGATGGCTCAGGGTTCCACGGCACAGGAGCGGAAGCCGGCCGAGGCCCCGGCAGTCAGGTAAAAGCGTCTCATGATCAGCCTGTGAGTGTTAGGAGATTGCAGTACAGGGCGAAGGCCGCATCGAGACTACTGAGTCAGGCACTTTAGCAGAAGCTGCTGACCCAAATGCAAGCATTCTTGAGCCGAAGTGGCGCACAGAACAGCAAAACTGGGCATGGTAGCTGAGCGACCTCCATGGTCAGCGCTGCACCACTGCTCATGCTGCGAGAGGCTATGTTGGGTATGGCCGGTTTGCGGCACATCCGGCAGCGTAGAAGCTGCCGACGGCTCACTTGGAGTGGCTGAGTGGCTGGCGATAGCAATCAGAGAGGCATTACCTTCCTTCACCACCTGTCTCAGCGAGTTGTCTGACGAGGTTCTTCGACTGTGCGCACAAGGCAAGAATGGACATTTCTGCACGGTTTGGGCGGCGGCCTTAACACAAACCGCGTCCTCGCCTTGCATCAGACACGAAGGCCAAAAGAAAAGTCCGTGCGAGGGCCCTAGGCCCTACCAGTAGCCTGGGTTGCACGTCTTCTTGTGAACCTTCCAGTGCTCAGCCTGTGCGACTCTGACGGGTGTTTTAGCTTGGCTCCGCATTGCCTCCGCTGGCCTGGTGGGCCCGAGAGCAGTACCAGACCTTCTGACAACGGCCTTCCAGAGATTTCAGTTTCGAGCATCAGCCGTGCTGCCGCGCTCGACCAGGAGCAAAAGGCCCGGGCCACACTTGAAAGTAGCAGGCTTCGCGCAGACTGCACAGAGGTGCTCCACTGCCTGGCACACGATAACAAAGCACTCAAGACCTCTTCACGAAGAGGACCTGGTTCCAATGAGATTCATCTGGCAAGCATCTGTCTCTGTCTGCCAGCCATTCGGCTTACTCGAAAGTTCAAACAAAATGGATGGAACCCAAGGAAGTTGCCACAAGCTGTGCTCTGTCGCAAGTCTCGCATGGGCAGACTCCACCGACGGACGGCAGGGTGCTGTCCAGTTGGACCTGCATGTCATGACGACTCTTGTGCGTTGTGTACTATATTGTGCGTTGCGTGTGTATATATATAGAGAGAGAGAAAGAGAGAGAAAGAGACGGACCCGACATGCTCTTTATTTTTTGAAAAGTGCGGAAACTGCCCTGCTCCGTGGGGCGGGGCGGGCCTTCAGTGCAAATCGCCGCATTGCGTGCCAGTAGTCTTGGTACTGGCCGATGTTATTGTGACCAGCATCCTGGCGTGCATGCTACTGAAAGGCAGAAAACGCAAGAGCACGAAATTCTGACGGCTACAAATGCAGAGCGTGCACAGCAAGGAGCTGAGCTAAGTCCCGACAAACTGCTCGTAACCTGCCTGCTGCCATTTTCTAGTCCCTGATCCTGTGCTACGATTTCGCACACTGATTTTTAGATCAATTTGCAGGCCAGCACGTACTGAAATTTCCTGCGGTATGAGGGTTCAGCTCGCCTTCACCAGCACAACCTCTTTCTGGCGTGATGCGGCGGCGGCATGAAGACTCTCGCTACCTTCGTATGGCACCTGAAAGCATTCAAGGACTCTAGGATGGGACTTCACGCTCATCTAAGCCCCGTGCCAGTTCGTCGGCCAAACCATGCAGGAGCAGAAGCTGCCCGTTGAATGCGCCTGTGCCGTTTTGCCGTGAGTATGAAGTCCAACAGCGCTGGCCACGACAAATGCAATTAAGTTCAGGAACCAAACTTAGTCTTGGACGAACTTTGTCTAGTGCTCCCAGTGTCCAAAGTTCGGCATCGAGCGGCTGCAGAACCTCTGCACATGCCCGCCCGGCGCACAACTCAGATCAACTCGGCAGAAGCGCCTCAAGATTCGAAACCTCAAGCTCCTGCCAGGCGGCTCTCCCGGGACTTACATGGCCTATTCTGCCTGCAACGTTCCGCTTGCCCGCTCCTTGTGCCACTGCTTCAATGCCGCCAGCCGAGCTTCGCCAAACCCTTGCGCGTTGACACGAGGTTACTTGCCGTTCCCACATCCACTGACGGGGTAGAGGCGGCTACAAGTAGCTGCTGCCGAGTGGCGATCGCCCGTGGCCGACGTCGCAACTGCAGAATCCTGAGGCCAGCGACAGAGACCGCATCGAGCCACCTCTGCCCCTTCTGCTCTAAGGTATCAGCCAAGATCATCGACCTGAAGGCATAAGGCATATGTACTCTGCAACACATTACAGCAAGCACTGCCATGTACGTTACATGTACTCCGGTGGAGACCGGACAGCATCTGTCAACTCCCACAAGATCATACCCACTCACTGTGCCCCTGACCTGAAAAGACTGGGAAACATTGCAGCAAGGTGGACCGCGACCTGCGTGGGCTGCTCAACAAGCCGCTGAAGCTGACTAATATAGGGGCATATAGGGGCCGGAATAGTTAGACTAGGGTTTTGGGGCCCATTATACTAACAAAAATGACACGGAACCCCCAAAATAGTATAGGCAATTATTAAGGCCCAGCCTGCGCGCCCAGCGACCTTCCGGACAGGATGATGCCACCTGTGGTTTGACAGAGCTGCAAGCATGAATACCGCATGATATAACATCATCTAAGTTTTTAAGAATGGAACATATAATAGTATAACTGAGAAGAATAGAGTATAGTATAGTCTCATATGACATAATACAACAAAATATTTTCAAAACACAACATAATGCAGCTCAACCCAACGTAATACAATAGTTTATCATGTAATCTGATCTCCTATAATAGTCTAATATCGTATAATACTGTATAATGTAGTTGCACAAGATGATCTCGCGCCAAATGATGACGGAATACAATCCAATATCTGGGGATCACACCCGGATAGGGCCAGGAGAGGCCATGCTGCACGAAAAGCTCCGGCCTCTACGGTTCGGACATTTCCCGCAGCCTCTTAAAGTCTAAGCCCTGGAGACTATTCCATCTGAGTTCCGATCAGTTGTTCTGCCAAAGGTTCTGCCTCAGCAGAAGTGCTGAGTTGAAATGGGGGACGCCTGTTCCTCTCGTAAGCTCCGTGCATCTTTGAGGAAGGTTGCCAGCGAAGGCTCACCGGAAGACCAGCCTAATCGTGCCGGTGTCTTGCAGCTGCCTTTGCAAAGTCACTTCTCTGTCCCCACCGTAGCCACGGTAGTCTGCTACCAAGAGGTGCACTGGGAGATCCTGGAAAAACGGATGAGGTCTTTGAAGATCAGAGCTCTCTGCTCCCATCGCCCCGCGGGTCCCGGTACTTCTCCGCAAGTTGCGGCTGCAGGTAGTCGGCTGCAATCTCGCCTTGCTTTAGAGAAGGAAAGACATGGATGCCCATCTCTGTATATAGAAGTAGTGTCTCTCCTCTCTTTGGGGGCTTCCGAAAATAGGGGACCCTAATGTAGTACCCTAAATAGTAGGATCCCTACTATAAGGACCCCAAATAAGCCACCCCCATTTTCGGAAACTCCCATATCAGCAATTAGAATCTACAATGTACGCAAGTTCCTGGCCGCTGCCGTGGAAGTGGACGACCACAGGGGCGGTGACATCTTTCTGGTTCTTCAGCAAGATGTACCTGGGCTCGTGTGAGTTTAGGGTTTCTGCGTTTTATGGGTTCTGGTTCAAGGGTTAGGGTCTATGTGGGTAGTTGTCAAAATTGTGGCCCCTTTTTGGGGGACCCTAAATGTAAGGTGCCGTATTATAATAAATAAATAAGGACAGAAAAAGGGACCATAAATTGGACAACAACACCCATGTGTATATATATATATAGATATATACATATACAGATATATATATATATATATATATATACATACATATTAAATATAACACATAATACCTACAAAATTCAGGGTTTGGTAGGTTAAGGTATGTGGCAAGAAGAGGACACTTTCTGTGGCAGAGTGCGCGAAAGACCGGGGAGCTCACCCGAGGCGAATGCCGCCTCCGACGGGGTAGGTCCCATCGGCGGCCTCCACTCCGTTTCTGACTCTCTAAAAGCGCCTTTTGGAGCGATTATTCCTAGTAATTACTATGACTATGATTAATATTATATTACGATTACTGTTATTTTTAATTTTTAGTATTACTACTATTCCTATTTTTGTTATAAGGTAACTATACAGCACTTATAAATACGCTCTCAATGGCGAGCCTCCATGCCTTCCACTGGACAGCCGAGATCCTGCCTGGGCAAGGCACTTCGCCGGAGGCAAAGAGGAAAACAGTCGGAGCTGCAAAGGGCATGCGGGGATCCGACAGTCTTTGCTGCTGCCGCGGCTTGAACAGACCCTGGCCTCATCTGGAGCTTCAGGGAGGTGTCAGATCGGTTAAAAAATGACAAAACTGAATCTGGACAGAGTGCCTTCATACTCGCTGCTTTCCTATTGCAAGCGCCTGATACCTTTTCGAACCTTGCCCAGGGCCGCTAGCACAGCAGTATGTGAAGGGAGAACGATCCCACCTGTGTTCCGAAGAGAACATGCATGAAATTCCCTTGCCGTTCAAGGAAACCCTGAGCCGAAACCTTGAATCCTTAAACTCTCCGAAAGCTAAAACCTCTAAACCCCCCGATCCAAACCCCAAAACCCCGAGCCAGAACACCCTGAATCCAAAGACGCATCTTCCCAGTCAACGCCCAGCTGCCCAAGGCGTGCTGTCGAAGCGCTGCCTCCTCGGCCTCCACAAAGACAGGGACCGTCCAAAACCAAAACATCTTCTGCGTCGGGTTGTGGGCTTAGGGTTTACGGCCTCGCGTTTAGGGTGTTTTTAACCCGGCTACTGCCGGGCCTTCTCCCAAGACTCCAGGAGAGGCCGCATCTCTTTGGAACAGGAGCCCTGCGGACAAGGGGGCCGTTCGCTGTTCGTTGCAGTCGACGTTCAAAGTGCCTTGTCCCGGACTTCCGAGCCCAAGCACAAGCGTGCGAAAGAGGCAAAGGCCGCTGCAAGGGGGCCGGCCTCTCACGGAAAGTGCGAAGTCTACAAGACTCTCTGGTCTAATAGCTACCATGGATTTGATGAGGTCTACGGAATCTAGGGACTGTCTTTCCATGGTTCGTGCTATTCAAAGCCACACCACCCAGCCAGAAGGGTTGGAAACAGGCGCAGGTTCCTTTCAATCCACAGCTGAGTAGCTTGCCTTGGTGGAGCTGCCGTAGTTTTTCAACGCCTACATCAGCTTGGAATTGAGATCCAGGGAACGGTTCGGGCCACAAGACAGATTGCAACCGCCTCCTCGGCATCTTTCAGGGCAGAGCCGTACTGGCAAAACCTTCCACAAATATCATTCAATCTGCACGTGCGGCTTGAAAGTTTGAAAGGAGGCATCATCACAAGAAAGGTGGAGTCCCCGGCTTCCAGCGCAGTAGAGCCCGCGTAACCAGGAACAAGCCTGTGCCAGATCCGGCAAAAAATATGCATTCCACTGACATCCATTGTTTCCGGGGGTGAAAAGTCTGCGGAATCCCAAGGGCGCACCACTGGGTACCGCGGTCCGCTTTTCTAAGACTTGGAAAGCTTCGTCCCACCTCAGCCGCGAGGCTTCCCCAAATCCAACTACTCTCCGGTCTTCTCAAGCTCCAGACTTCTGCTTTCTTGCCAGCTCTTCCACGCTGCGCAAGAAGCCCCTGGTCTCTTCCTGAATTCCCACGAGATGCGAGGATCTGACATCATCTCTCTGGGCTTTGGGGTGCTGCCCACCTTGCCCTCCAGCTCGGCGGCGCGCTTGGCATCCTCCTCCGCCTGGCAATGAAAAGTGTTCGAAAAGCGGTCGAAAGGAGAGAAAAACTGGGCCTTCTTCTGCCGCAAGAAGGCGGCACTGTCCGAGAAGGTGTAGGGGCATTCCTGCAGAAGCGTTGAACAACGCGAACCCATGGAAGACTGAAACTTGGTGACGCCTCTTCATTCGGGTTCTCCGTGATTAGAGCCCCTGGCAACTTGGCAAGCTGGTATGACTGACATCCACCGGACACATCGCGACGCGAGATTTCATCCTGGCCTTTCTGCGAGGGAATGAACCGCTTCGGAGCTGCCTAGGTCTTTAGTTAATCTACTACTTGTGAGCAAGCCGGGTTGCGTCTGTGCCCAAGCTGGCCTTCTTTTTCTGCAAGGGTTGTTGGCCCATGCTCCGGGGCAAAATTGCGAGCGAACTGGCCACAGAGCAGAGGAGCAAGCAAATGAATACAGACTCGGCTTCCACCAGTAGTGTGCAATCATGCATGGTAGGCTCTTCTGCCATGGCGTCAAGGAGATTCGAAAGAAAGTCGCTACTGGGCTGCAAGCCACTGCGCCTAAGCGGCGCTCGTCTTAGGCCTCTTTCTCGGTTCAGCGATTTCTGTGGAGTGCAGATCTATGCTGCAAAGCATCGATGCTTGATCAAGCCGTGTTCAGGCTGCAAAAGGGAATAAGCTAAAGAAGAAAGACTGCAGAAACGCGTCCGTATGTACTGACGGCAGTTCATGGTCTCTTACCCGTCGGAATCCCTGGGGCCAGAACCAAAGCATTCGGTTCAGAAAAGTTTCAGCAATCGTCATCTCAAATTTATCTAAGGCACCCGTAGGCAGCATCTCGTTGCATAATATGCAGCCAAGTTTTTGCAGCGGCAGCGCTCAACCCCCAGCGCGCAGCGCGCGGCGTCCACCAGTCCGTCTCAGACTCTTCCCGAAATCTGCAACACTGGCTGTCGAAATGCCGGCTGCATAGCAGACACTTAAACTGTAATGCGCAGCCGGGCATTTCGAGAGTGACCCTCGAGGAACGGGTGCTCGAGCACCGAGCAGCTTTGAGGGCATCGTTCGATGCGACCCCAGGTCACGTTAAAGTACAAATCATTTTGTTACTTCCGCGCTGTGGCGGTTTCACGACCAGCCGCTTTGATGACTCGGCTTCACTTCCTCCCTCTGCCCCGCACGCCCTTCACAGCCTTCGACTTCGCAGCACGACCTCCGGCACCACGTCCTCTGGCCCTGGCGCCCTTCGCTGCCCTAGGTATGGGAGTTTCAACAACTGCCATCACATGCCATGTTCTATGCCAAGCCCTGTTCATGAGGAAACGGCTTTCCTTTCGCCGTCGGTGCCGCGCCTCTGGCCTGCAGAGCAGATGAAGCTACAAATACGCCATGGCTTTCCTTTCCTATCGCCCTCACAGAGTCAGCCTTCTTCTCGAAGAAGGCCTTGGCCTTGGCCCTGCCATGAAGCTGCGATGCATGATGGAAGCACACAGCTCCATTTTGAAAACCCCAACCATGTGACGTGTACTAGTAGCTAGGGAAGCATGTAAATGAAGGGCAAGTCTTTGGCAAATGAGCCATGAATTGATGTTTACGTGTTCTTGTCTGTGTCAGATCTCTCCGTCTTCCCACTCGCCGAGGAGACTGTGGCACATTTACAGCGATGTGTGCGTGCAGATGTATGCATATATGGATGGTTGTCAAAATTAGGGTTCCTTTTTGGGTCCCTATTATAGTACGGCACCTATTATTTAGGGTACCCAAAAGGGACCCTAATTTTGACAACCATCCATATGCATACAGACGGACCGACGGACGGGCGGACGGACACCTACTTGCACTTACAGTCACTCAAGGCACGGAATCCTGGTCGGAAGCAGCCTATAGAACATCTAATTAAGAGGTGGAACAGAGAAGGACCTGGCTAGCCCCAGAAAAATATGCCAGGAGGTGATGTCAGCGATGTCTCCTTGAACTGCGCAATTCGTTTCACCGCATCAAGTACCGGACAAGGAAAGTCAGGGGCGAGTTGGAATCGTAAAAGTGCAACCCCCCGCAAACAGTCAGCAAGAAGGCGCAGGTTATGAAGACACGGAAGCTGAAGAGAGGGCAAGTTAACTCGCTTTGAAGGCTTTGGCGCCGCGCGGCAAGTGGGTACATACACGCACATACACATACGTAGGCTCATACAGGCACCCATACCGCATACACGTACAAAAATGTGTGTGCGGGGAGAGGAGAGAGACAGAGACAGAGAACGAGATACTTATTCGATCTAAGTGTTTCTTGATGCATGTAGTTGCGGGATGAAAACGAGATGAACAAATCTTCGGCAAAAGATACGGTTGACATGCTTACTCATACATTGATTGCATTGCTGCTGACAATATGAATACTCGCTATTCGCGCAAAAATAATCCTCATGGACCTTAATAACTAGAATAGTGTATGGGGGGTATGCTACACCAAAAAGGAACCCCCAAAATAGTATCATGGAGAACACCCCCGTCCCGATCCATGTCATTTGGCAGTGGCCGCCTTGGCTTCACGGCCTCATCGCCATCCTTGGGCTCTTTGCCTTCCTCGTCGTCGCCTTTGCCTGGGCAAACACCAGGTTCAGGCCGGCGTGTGTGTATCATCTGTGATCGAGCCGGCGGAACCTCTCCCTACATCCTAAACATCCTAAGCCCTAGACCCTAAGCAAAATTTCTGCCACAAATCACTGCCTGCAGCGGCTGCGGCGGCACTCTTGGTGAGCTTCTCGAGGCCGGGCGGAGGAGGCGGCTTTTTCTGGCATGCTCTCTACTGGGCTTCCCCTCCCTCGGGCGCAAAAGCATGAGAGAGAGATCGAGAGAGAGAGAGAGAGAGAAAGAGATCGAGAGAGAGAGAGAGAGCGAAAGAGAGAGAGAGAGAGAGAGAGAGAGAGATAGAGACGAGAGAGAGAGAGAGAGAGAGAGAGAGAGAGAAAGAGAGAGAGAGAGAGAGAGAGAGAGAGCGAGAGGAGATCGAGAGAGAGAGAGAGAGACAGAGACAGAGAGAGAGAGAGAGAGATCGAGAGAGAGAGAGAGACGGAGATCGAGAGAGAGAGAGTCAGAGACAGAGACAGAGAGAGAGAGATCGAGAGAGAGAGAGAGAGAAAGAGAGAGAGAGAGAGAGACGGAGATCGAGAGAGAGAGAGAGAGACAGAGACAGACAGAGAGAGAGAGAGAGGGTAGAGAGAGCGAGAGAAAGACGAGAAAGGGGCAGAGGGAAGGAGGCAGGAGAGAGAGGGGATGGAGGGGATTGGAACGGAGAACCAAGGGATACAGGGAACGAAAACTCCACAGCAACTTGATAGAAATCCATGCCGGCACTGCTGGCACCATGTCGTTGAACAGGCCGGGGAGCTCTGTCAGGGTCAGCTTCAGCTGACGTTCCTCCGGCGAGAAGGCCGGCTTAAATGCTGATGCTCAGGCGACAGACGTGAAACCAGTGGTAAGTACTGCGCAGCAGGCTTACCTAACCTAAGACAAATCGGGGCACTGAGAGTGGCCGCTGTTGACAGAGCGGCTCTGTAGATCTTTAGGCCTGCATCTCGGCCAGAGCTGTCGTCGACAACTGTCCGGGTCCCAGGGCCGGCGTTGGCAAAGGCGTCGAACTGCAGCACACGACGATGCTAGCCATGGATTGTGGCACTGATTCGATGCAAGCATTGCAGATGCCGCCTGACTGCAGTCTTTGCTTTCTTGGACGAATGCCTCGGCTTGTGATGCTCGCGACTGTACCACCGCATCGCAAGAAGCCTGGAACCGGTTTGTGGCATTGCAGTGCGCTATGGTGGTATTGCACCACCATAGTTGGTCGTGGCACACAGGTCCAGTTGCCCATCCAGAGGTGCGCTAGACTCGCTAGACTCGGCTCTCTTGCCGACGTTGAGCCGGGATAATCGAACCCCGAACGTCCATGTCTGAGCAAGCTGCGCACTGCTGAGGGCGGCCCGCTTCTGTGCTGCTTTTTCCTTCGGCAGGCAAACGAAGGCACAGAGAAAGGGTTCACACCTAGAGCATGGAATCCAAGCACGCTCTCCAGAAAGACATCCTCTGAACAAGTCCAGCACATCCGCCCAGACAAAGACAGCTCCCCACTTCCACTGTCACCCACCCGAAAACCTTCACACAAGTCATGCACTATGGTGATGATGAGTGTGTTGATGAGTCTTCCCACTGATTCCATCCCTGCCTCGGCCAGAGCTGCGCGGCTCCTTGCTTCCAGAGCTGCGAGCCTTGGGATTAGGGCTTCCGAGGGTTTCCGATGCTACGACTTAGGCATGCAAGTCTTCAAGCTTTCCTCGTGTAGCTTTGGGGCGCATGCCGACAGCTGGAGGACAGCTACTAGTAAGACTAGTAATGCAAGGTTTCTGGATTTCAGACATGCAGAAGGCGTGCTCAGGAACTTTTGCAGAGCGCATGTGAATTTGGCGTGATTCCTTGCGCTATGCTGGGCCCCGATTCGATACGCATTCAAGGTCAGCGCTCGGTGAGGATCTCATTGAGGTCAGTCTCCCAAAGCTCCTCGAATCGGGTCGTGCTTAAATCGAACCGAATGTGGCGAAGGGGCATTGGGAGGAGAGCACAAGGGAGCAAGGCCCTCCTCCGGTGCGGTGCACTCGAGCTTGTGGAGCTCTGCCTGCGGTGGCTCAAGCTCATGTGGGTGGTCGTCAAAGTTATGGTCCCATGCCGCTGTTATTGAGGGTACCCCAAAAGGGGCCATAATTTTGACAACTACCCATGCAAGCTCTGGGAAAGCTTTTTGGGCATGCTTGGATTCCACGCCTGTCTCGTCATGATTGCCCGATGCCCCCTGCCCAAATCCGCACCTGCTTGTCCTTGAGCTGTGCAAGGAGGTTGGCCACTCTTTCAGCGGTCAGGGACCTGAGTCGCACGTGGCACGCGGATCCAAAGATGAACCTCATTGCTCGGTTGCTCGGAGCAAGTGCCACATGCTGAGAGCTCAACCAAATCGGCATTCCCAACAGGTACTCCCAAGCCTTCCCTTGGGATCCATCCGATACGACGTCTTCGCCTGGCACAGAATATCACGGGCAGATCTTGCTCAAATGTATAACCATGCATAACCATACCCTGCCTTCGGTGATCTCACGCAGAGTCTTGAAGCCATGCTTGCGCAAGTCCTTGCACAGAGTGAGACTACCAAGAGCCCGTGTCAACGAGAGGCAAATGCAGTGTGTCCTCGATCAAGACATCTTTCTTCCTGTTCTTCACCTTCAGCTTCTCATCGATGACCTCAACACCATTGGAAAATGGCTCAAAACAATCGCGAGGCCTTACGCAAAAGCCTACCCGACCCATGGAGTTCTTCACTACCTTCCCCTGCCTCCTGGATGAAGCGAGCTTTTGCAGCGAGAATCTCAGCCTCGATCCTCGGCGGGCACGGACATCAAACGCAGCGGTGCACATGAGCAGGATTGAGGTGCTAGCCTCAGGACCCTCACCAAGTGAGCCTTGCGCTTGTGGTAGTACCTCTGCTGGGCAATCTGAACAGAGCAGATCTGAAAAGCCTAGTAGGGCCTAGAAACAAAAACTGCAGGACGCCACACCGGCGGAAGTATGCTCTCACTGCCGGCAACCCTGGGCATGCGGCTCTAGTCTGAGTTCTGCAAACTCCTCGATGATGTGCCGCTCGTCGCTGTATCGCCTCACAGTCGAAGATCAGTGGGCAAAGCGATGTTAGGATAAGCGAGGTTGAGCTGTTGAGCTAGCAGCTTGATTTTTCCCTCCTTGTCGAAGAAGATCCTCAGCATCGCGGTCGCAAGGAGTCGGGTAGTGCCAAAGACGAAGGGAAGGGAGCCATGGGAGCCCCACGGGAGCCTAAACCCCTCCTGCTTCGGGGCCTTCGGGGTTACTACCAATAGCTTGTCGTGTCCGGCGCGGAAGATGGGGCAGCAAAAGCCTTGTAAACTTAGACAGAAGATCTCACTTTTTTCTGACGATCCCTTGAAATATGTTTGGTACGTCAGCTCTAAGCCAGCAGCATGTTGTTTGTCGACAGCGAGCTTCGAAGTTTGAAAGACTTCTCCAGTCCTGCGGAGATCACAAAGTGGGCACTCTTGACCGTGCCTTTCACATTCACGCGTACCAGTGCGCAGCTCAGTAGTCAGTAGGATTATTTCTTTGACCACCGACAACAGCGCCACAGTGCCGCAGCCGAGCAGAGACCGTGTTCAGAAAACACCCATGCACCTACACCGACATTACATGGTTTCCGACAGTAAATCATCCAAGCTCATGCTGGCAATAGGATAGGCCAACAAAGGATTCTGGCTGCCAGAGACAAATCCCTGCCCCTAGATTCGGTGATGTAGCGGCTGCATCCCCAAAGATTGCCCAGAAGCCCAGCGCGTCCTATGTACTCATGAGCTTTCATCTGCTCCTCGTTCGGCACTGAAGCAGCAGACGCTGGGCTCAACCGTAGCTGTGGTCCCTGTGGTGTCCTCTGTAACTGTGATGATGAAATGCACCGTAACCTGCACATTTGCTCGAAAAGAAACCATGCGTGCAGGGCACTTCAACCCAAATCCAACGTGCCGGGAGCTCCTCCGTGTGGCACTCCTGCAGCGCGAGTTTCTTGGTGTGAGCAGTCTGGACTAGTTCAAGATGGGCGACAAGAACAACTCTCCTTGAAGTCTTCAATCTGGCCAGTACCAGGTCCGTCGGTCGACAGCATGGGCTGCGCAAAGCATACAGTAAAGCGAGGAAGTTCGGACCAAGGCTTACGAGTATCAAAAGCCTGCAGCACAGCCTCCTTGTAGTCCTGCGAAGCGCAACAGGCTTACAGCCAAGCGAACTTTCTGTGAAAGCCGGGAGTTCCTGTGTCCACTTCTTGATCGGGAGCTCGGTGATCTCCAGCGTGGTCGGGCCTCTCCTCACGCCACGAGAACAGAAGAAGTTGAGACTTCTGATCACCTGTGACTCCGAGGCAGCAACTTCTCAATCACGCCCACGGACTCATAGCCAACCTTGTCCGGCGACCTGAGATTCTGAGATTTCACGAAAGCTCGTTTAAGACGATCCCAAAAACATTCAAGCCCTGGCAGGACGATACTTCCCTTGAAACCAGCATACCAAGGGCACATGTCCTGCGCCAGGTTTCATGTGGTTTTAGCACCACGGCATGGAGCAGGACAAGGCCACTCTGGAAGATCCGCATGCACACTTCGCAACTCCTGCACTGGCTGGCATCGAAGGTACCTGGTGTTTGACATTCGCAGCGGAAAGAACTCGGCACAAGTAGGTCTCGGAAGCAGAAAGAAGGCCTTTTCAGGTTCGCAATGATGTCCCTTGGATGGAAGTTCGGAAGGAAGGTGGACCAGCCAGTTCCGATTCCTGCCGCACTGGCAGGCTTCGACAACGGGCCTAAGACACTACAGTACCAAAAAGAGCCTTCGGCGCCGTTCACAAGGACAAGCGGGAGCGCAGGAATGTACCTCTAACAAAATTAAAGGCTTCAAAGCAATGTCAAATGCTCGTGAGTGGCGTGAGCACCACTTCGGCTCGATCCGCTGACCCTCCTCGACCTCCGCAACCAAGATCACTGCCCGGTCCAAAGCTGGGAACCATACGGAAACCTGGAAGTCCAGCAAGGCGTCGTCAGAGGGATGGAAGATCAAGCGAGTGATCCTCGAGAGCCACGGAAGCCCACGGAAGCCCGAAGCGACCCGCTGGCAGAGCTAAGCTCGAGACTTCTCGAGGCGAGTGTAAATGTAACGGGCACTGGCGGCATCCTTACCTGCCACCGAGCCGGGAAGAGTCCCCCACATGGCAAGGGAAGCTCTGCCCCGGGGAGGCTTTCCGGGAGTCTTCCTGAGCACGCGGCCGCCCTGAATGCGGGTTCCGAACTGACCCGACGGCACCAGCAAGTTCACGTTGTTCGCTCCGACCTTCGCTTCAAGCACGAGGAAAAGCGAAATCTACCAGTAAGAGAAATTGCAGTGCGGACGCCAAGAGTTTTTTCCCAGAAGGAGCTGGGAGCCTTGGGGCCCATTTGGCCCTTGCAGAGGCCTCAAACCTTGAAGAAATCTCTTGCTCGCATTGTCAGGGCTTGCCAGCCCAGGGATCCTATCAGGGAAGGGATGCGGCTTCGACAAGCACGAGTGGGCGTTTCCTAAAGGTTTTTTTGATGCCAAACAGAATGCTCCACAGCATTTGCATGCCAACAGCTGCCGAGACATGGCTGCGACGACGAGGCCTTGAAAGTGCTTGCAGGCTTGCATGTCCTGTAGTTCAACCTATATGCACGCTACCAAAATGAAGATCTCCCACCTTCATTCTCAGTTTGGGTGGTTGCGATTTACCTTGCTGATTTCATTCTGCCTGAGGTCTGGAGGAGATGAGATCCACGCGAATGTCTGTGCCAGTCCCACGATGGCTCCTGTCACATGGACACTCCGCAACCATCCGCAACCCAAACATCAAACCATTAGCTTTCATGCAGACACTGCAAGCACTTGAAGGCACCTTGCAACGAAGACTCGCCATGATGGTAGGCGGCATGTTCCGAGACATAGCCTGATGCCGCATGTCTCGTGCGACTTATCGCTGCTGTAATTCTGCTCAAATAACCAGAAATTAATGCGGTGGCTGCATAGATCTTCTGTTCCCCTGCAAGAAGCCTGCCAACTGAGCCACTTTGGTGTCCTAGGCCAGCCACACGGTTAAATAAGCAGCGAAGCTGCAGGCAATGCCCAATTTACCTAAGCCCGCGTCGTTCTTCAGGTTCCGCTTGAAGGATGCCCACATGATCTTGCGCTGCACCGGCTTGAAGCCATCGACTACCGATGGGATGGCACGCAGAACCTGGAATGCCAAGCAATGCATTAAGCTGACAGGTGCTTCAAACTACTGCTTTCTAGGAAACCTTACAAGTTCTGCTTACAGTGATTGATGACTTGCAGGCTCCAAACTCGCTGTAGAGGTGAAACGCTGTGTGTACCTTACTGCTGCTCTACTAGACTCTGTTTCTCACCTCGGACCTTAGGAGAGCTCAAGGAGCCGAGAGCCTCGCTCTCTGGATGCCGAAATGAAAGAAACTCAGATACATCTGGGCTCTGGGAAAGAAGCCCCAAGCCCTAGCAGCCCCAGCAGAATGAGAGGACAATACGACCCAAGGGCAAGTACCAGGCAAGCAAAGCTATGAGTCGATCAACTTTACTGAAACTAGCTTTACAAGACCACAGCGACTGCAGGCCCTTCCCAACGACTGGAGCATGAACAACAGGATCCCAAAACAGATACATCAACGGCGGTCCATGCAGCCTTGAGGAATGCTCCCTTTTCCTGTTTTCGGGCTGTCTGGTGGGGTAAACAAGAGGTGCCGACGACGTTCATGCCAAGGCACATCGTACTTCGCAAATTGCACCAGCTCCTTGTTGATAAAGTCCAGGTACGTGACCGCTTCCTGTGCAGGGAAGTGCACCCATGAATCTACCTCAGCTTCATCCGTCTTGAGACCGTTCCTTCGAATGGTCCACGAACTCCTCATCATCGGCCTCGTTGATCCACTCCTCTGCAAAACTCGCTTTCAAGCTGCAGATGGCTGTCGCTCGGTCGCTGCGTCCTTCCGATCATCAGCCCTCTTTTTATTGAACGCCATGTCGAACGCTTCATCATCGTTTTGCCCCGTGTACTCGAAAGACAGGCTGTGATCCTGCTGCTCAGCAGTAGCACGGCAATGTCGCTGGGGCCCATCAATTTGAGGAGCGTACGTTGATGTTGCTGAAATATTCTTTGGCTTCAGCCATCGTCGAAGTTCCGAGACCTGGACCATCGTGGCTCAAACTCTACTCGAAGAGATCACCGAGCAAGGCCTTTGTAGTACTTCAAGTGCCAACCACGCCCATTGTTGTTTTCTTCCTTCCACTTCTCATACTCCTGGCACGATTCGGGCTGTCATGCTCACGTCGCAGTGGAAAGCACCGAAGGCAAAAGAGTCTTTCTTTCCGGCTTCTGCGGAAGGCTATAACTCACCGGCTCCGGTTTTGCCAATTTTTTTAATAGAGCTGGACAAGTTCAATGGTGTTCGCGTTGCCAGCTTGCCTTTTCTGCTGTCTTGACAAATGAAACCGTCAGCTGCATACACTGGAAAACAAGTGCAACACGCAGTTTAAGATCCAGGAGACTGAAACACAGCAGCCGAGTTGGTTTCACTGGCCTCTGTTGTGGACTGGAGAATTTATGAATCGCACTATACCAATGCCTATACCTCACTGCCTCTTTCCGCAAGCCACGGTATATCTCTCTGGCTTGTAACATCAAATGGCCTGCATGGTGAAGAACTGCTGAGTGAAGTTCCGACGGCTCACCTTCACCTGTGTCAGATGGACTGCGGAGTGCAGCCCGACGGCTAAGTACCCAACAATCACAGGGGCGCCGACAATCGGTGTGACAAACTCCGTCATGAAGCCGGGGAGCTTAAACAATGACGGCCACCTGAACAATACGAATGTACCACAGATGGAAAACGGAGGCGGCTTTCTTTCTGAAACTCTTTTTGAGGCAAGTTCCAATGCTGCACAAAGTTCAGGATGAGTCCTTTGATGTGCGATCCGTCGTAGTCCTGATCTGTCATGACCTGCAGCAGCATCGTAGCATCGTGCTTCTGATTCGTGCAACCAGCACCCGCTGAGATGACGACCATGATGGAGCCGTAGCGCAATCCGTTCGTGGAATGATACTCTTTCCGCGGCCTGCTCGTCACAGGATCCGGAGATTTTTTAGCTGAAGCCACAAACATGCAGTGCGCACTCCAAGCCAATGATCTTCGTGATGTTGGCGATCTCTGCGTTTCCTTTGGCTTTGAAACACCAGCACTTGCTGTGAGCTTCGGGCTTATATCAGCTAACTTTGGAGATGAGTCGCCCATTGTTTGTGCAAACGTTGCATCCCGGACCTGGATGGTCACCAGGAACTCTTTCACACTATCAATCACCTCTACCACGAAATCCCGGCAGTAGCGCACACGCGGCTATAACTGAGACAGGAGCATTCAGAATCTTCCCTCGAAGTGGGAACACACCATATCGGTCCCGACCAATTACCTCAGCAGCTGCTGGACTTGGTAGCCTGCTGCTGAAGACATGTTGTCGGTCTCTGAAAGATTCGTCTGAGCCCCGCACACCCAAGCCGGCCACTGCCAATGACTTGGCACTGTCTCCCTGCATTCGATCACGGGCAGGCTAGGGCACAGTGTGTCCATGACTGAGCAGAACCTCCGTGAGAATGAGGGTGCACTCACGACCTCAAAAAGCCCAGCCCACGCCACCCCTGTTGGCTGCTATATGGCTGAGGCCACCGCCGTCTTTGCTGCCGGCCAGGTTGGCATCCTGAAGAAGATAACATCTGCGAGGTGGTGTATTCAAAGAAGGAAGCTGTTTCGCTCTCTCCTCAAGCTTCGGGACGTTGAGCAAGCGCTTGGTCTTTTTGTTCGGCGCGCTGGAGCCACCTCGTCCCAAAGCTCTCTGCTGCGATTCCGCATTCTGCCAACTGCACCCAGGCCTTTAAGAGTCTTTCCCAGATCAATTTCCTCCTTGGCTTTCGCCCATTGAAGCACCATATCAACCTGCAGTCGTTGCAAATGTCTAGCAGTCTGGCAGTTTGGCGCTCCGTTTCTGCGACGAATCTTAGCTTTGTCCTCGGGCCTGTGGCGACAGCAGTTTCGAGTCTAAAGCCCCGTGTTGCAGGGTTCTTGTGCTCGGCAAAGTTCGAGAAATCTTCGGCTTGAGCTTGTTCTGCTGCCTAAGATTTGCCTAGCAGGCTTTGGCAAATGTTGAAGCTGCACAATGAATGATGATTGCGTCGCTCAAGAGTTTTGATGAAGAATCTTGCAGCTAAGAACCCATACCAAATTCATGGCCTCCTGTTTCGGGCTCAACTTTGGGGATTGTGACATGTGAGGCGGCTGGCCTTGCAAATGAATGCGAATACTCACGGTGCACATAGCATACAACCAAAGAGAGGTGTCCCGAGGATCAGACACCCCACAAAAGGAAATGACGGCAAAAAGCAGTCTCAAAAATCCATTCAATTACACGTACACATCCTAGCTGTCTCAGCAAGTACGACAAGCCACAATGCCAGTCTTCAAGACGCTGTTGATCATCTTGTCAGGAATCGCGCAGCTCGACCTGCCGTGATGCATCCCAGTCGCCGATTCAAATCATAGCACGGCACAGCCCCGCGCACCCGAATTTCGACTGCTTGAGAGTCATGGTTTCCTTTGTCTGCGAGTCGAAAGATGGGTTCTCGATCTGCGCGTTCACGAACACCCACAAATAGTTCCGCACATGGTACCTGCACGTCGCACAAGAAGAGCCCGAGCTCCTCAGCACCCTTCGCAGCAGCATACAATCGCCACTAACTCTGAAGCGCACGGCTTCACTTCCTCAGAAGGGAAACGAGAATCAAAGATCGAACTGCATCTTTGCAACACTGTGTTCCGCACCATCCCTCCTTTGTTTTGCTTATTGACCTTCTGGGTGATGGCCTGCCCACCGATGGGCATGCTGCACAAGCTCGGCCCAGCTGGGCGTTGCAAGAATAGATACGCACACAGGGCACTCAGTCAACTATAACTCTTCATGCCCTTCTGTTAACGTCTTTCCCGAACGCTAGACTCACGAGACTGTGTAATCAATAGCTTGGTGAGGGAAGCGTGGGAAAATCGCAGATCTACCGTCTCCGGCAACGAGTCTTGAAGTTTGATCTCTGGAGCCTCGACGAGTTGATCCGCGACGTGGACAACCTGAGGAGCACTAGGATGGCACGTCACGGCTCGGCCAGATTCCCAGGTCAGACTTTGGGTTGCCGCATGGGTCCCTCCTTTTGTCGTTGCGATGTTGTTCACGAAAGACACCTTCGTAAGGTCGAGGAGCGGTAGAAAGAGCATCAAAACATAGCAAGACAGTAAGATGCAATGTAGCAAGAGTCTTCAAACAAGCAGGCCTGTTGAAACTGGCCATCTGAAACTGTCATGGCAACCTGGCAGGCCGGTGCTACACAGGACGGGGCAAAGCCAATTCAGCATTCCACCGCCCGCAGCCTCCCACCGCTCGTGGCACTTCTCGTGGACCTGCTGTTAAGAATTTAAAGGCTAGTGCACAAGTTGATTCTTACACTATCGGGAAAGTGCTTGAGTTTTGAAGGCTCTGGCGATCTGGACATCTTCGGTGCCAGTGTACAGCGAGATGTAGTCCTTGAAGCTGTTGATTTCCAGCCTAGCACATTCTCAAGGGCCGACAAGCTCCGCATTTCGAGAAGCGCCTTCCCTACGCTCACAAAGCCTATAATGGCTGCAGTATTCTCCCGAGAGCTGCAAAAACTCCTCTCGGAACGCAGGAGTCTCAGGGAGAATGTTTCTGTTTCGTTAGTCAGCGATGTGAAGATCTCACCTCAGTTCATCATGGGGGCAAGATGTTCTCAGGCATCGGCCTCTTGCCGTTCAGGTGCACCTTGCATTTGGCTGGAGTTGTGCCAGCCACATCGACCTTGCGAAAAGTGATCTGCATCAGCTTCACAGCACGGCCACTCGGGCTCGGACCACGCGACGACACATAAGCCCAACTATGTCCTGGGAGTCATGTGAACATGCAGCGGTAGCTGTGGTCACTGCATCCTGCACCAGAGGCGCTGTGCGTCCTTGTCCAATTTCTTCATGCCGAAGCGGGAGAGGTCGGGCCAGAACGTAATTCTGGAGGAACAGGAAGGGTTTGAGGACTCTCGAACTCAAACTTCCGGGAAGCCGCGGCCCGGGCTTCGTGAAGCTCTCGCCGAGGTGCGCTGAGATCTTGGACTTCTGCTTCTTGCGCATGTTCTCCTCTTGAGCTGATCTTTCGCGAAACGACACCCAAAACGATAACGCCAGCGAATGAAAGAATCTGGCACTCATCACTCTTATGCACGCCATGCTCCTCCCATGTCTGCTGGTACTTCTTTTTGCGCTCGGAATCGCCGCATTCGATCTCAAACCTGAAAGGGTGTGCGATTCAGGGTGAAACCCTCGTTCCCGAATCCACTGCTAGGACTTGTGTTGTTCGCTTCTTCCACAGAACCAGACCAAACTTTCACTCGGTCTCCCGACACGTGCTGAGGCCCATGCTTTGTTGAGAAAATGTTGGTGAGCTTTGCGCCGTAACCATTCCGGCCACCGGTGACCTGGCAAATCTGACGATTCATCTGTCCCACTAGTCTAAACTTACTACTGCTGCTGCTGATACTATTACTACCACTACTACTACTACTACTACTACTACTACTACTACTACTACTACTACTACTACTACTACTACTACTACTACCAGTTACTACTTATTACACTACGACTACGACTACTGCTACTGCTACTGCTCCTGCTACTGCTACTGCTACTGCTACTACTACTACTACTACTACTACTACTACTACTACTACTACTACTACTACTACTACGTACTACGTACTACGTACTACGTACTACGTACTACGTACTACGTACTACTACTACTACTACTACTACTACTACTACTACTACTACTACTACTACTACTATTACTGCTACTACTACTACTACTACTACTACTACTACTACTACTACTACTACTACTACTACTACTACTAGCACCACTACCACTACTACCACCACCACTGCTACTACTACCACTACCACCACCACCACCACCACCATCACCACCACCACACTACTACTACTACTCCGCCAGCTCCTCCTGCTGCTGCTGTGTGTTGCTAGTAGCAGTAGTAGCAGTAGCAGCAGCAGCAGCAGCAGTAGCAGTAGCAGTAGCAGTAGCAGTAGCAGTAGCAGTAGCAGTAGCAGTAGCAGTAGCAGTAGCAGTAGCAGTAGCAGTAGCAGTAGCAGTAGTAGTAGTAGTAGTAGTAGCAGTTAGTGGTGGTGGGAACACCTCTGTCTGCTACTACTCCTCCTGCTGCTGAGGCTGCTGCTGCTACTCCTATTCAGCTCACGACATGCACTCACCAGTACGGACCACTAAAGTCTACGCACTGTTACTTGTCTACCTATTCCAGGGAGCAGGGAGTCTCTGCAGCCCGTCCTTCTTCTCGCTGTCGTCGTAGTTGTCGCTTGTGAGGAGGTGTCCGAATACCTGTTGTAAACTTTGAGCATGTCAAGTCCACGCTCGCAAGACTAGCTTCGGAGTCAGCACATGAGTCCACACGCGAGTCAGAAGACCAAGCATCCGAATTGACACGCTGTTCGCACTAGAAGGGCATGCTGAGCATGAGGCCATCTCAGGGACATACATCTGGTGTTCTTTGTGTTCCTGAGTCATTGGGAACGCTGCACTGGCCCAACCTTGCGGCCATCCAACCTTCCCGGCCTCTACTGGCAATCCGCGCCCATTGTTCTCGATGCTAATGCAACCGTCTCTTTCGTTGATGGTCACCTGCAAGGTATGAGATCTCCCGTAGAGCATGAGCAACACTTCAAGCAAGAATTGGAAAACTGCAGAACCTTGATGTATGTTTGGGAGTTGTCTCTGACGTAGTTGTCTGCAGCGTTCACCAGGATCTCGTCGAAGATCTTGTAGAGTCCGGGCCTTGGGTACCCCAAGAAACCCCCTGTCGCCGAAGCCAAAGCTCCTGAGGCCAGAACACATAGTTCAGCTGCTTCTGCTCCACGGAGCCATCCTTGTCGTTGTAAACCTCACAAGCTTTGGCCGCTCTTCACGTCAAGGCCCAGAAGATCCAGGAAGCGCAAACCTCAAGTCTTTCTTTTCCGGTGATGCTCCATGCCTGCTTAGCAAGCCGGTCCTGCGAATGGTCGTATAGAACTTCGTGGAGCCCAGTCGAGAAGTCTCGCAGCATTTGAGGCGTGGAACCAAGATACGTTCAAATCGCGCTACTGGACTCGTGGTCATTGGCACTTCTGCCTCGTGAAACCAAAACTACATGCAGAACGAACAAAGCCTTGCGCACGCTCTTCTTGAAAACAGAGGATTTCCCCCCGAAGGCACCGTCCATTCTGAAAGCATATAATCAGGGTTGACGAATGTTGCACAAAGCAGAAAGTGGTATTGAGAAGAACCCCGCAGAAATGTGACGCCTTGTCGGCGCTATGGCTTGCTAACGGCTGACGCGGAGATTCTGGAATGTTAAGTTTTTGGCCAGACCTTTCAAAATATTCTTGGCAATGGCGCTGCCTCTTCGAGGTCAGCACACAGTCCTTGAAGATGCCGTGTTGCTGAAGTCAGAAGCTATTTCATTAATTAGGATCATTAATCGTCAATAATCGCATGTAGAATGGCTGGGATGTGACGAGAAGATGATACTGCTGGATGCAGTTCGAGAACCAGTGGGCAGGGAGGACCAGCCTCCAGCGCCTGAGTCCCCGCATGGCATGGTCACAATCCGGGCACAGGGATGGTTGCAGCTCAGCGCGAGACTGAGCAAACATCAGAGCGTCGGCACTTGCCCAATCAACGGCGGCTCCGCGAAAGCTTCACGAGGAGGCGAAAAATCACTGCTCCGCCTGCAGAACAAAGACTGGCTTTCCGCACAGGATGACCCTGCCTAATAATTAACCTGCTGTCCTTAGCCTCCCGCCTCCTACCAAGACGACAAGCGTATGCAATCCAACCACTCTCAACCACAAGCAGCGCACAGCTGCAAACTTGTCGCTAAGCTACGACTCGCAACTTCTGTCTTTCCGAGTCAGGCTGCCAAACGACGAGCACAAATCACTAGGTACAGAGATGCACAACACAAGTCGTCGAGAACTCTCTAAGCTGTTGGCGCGCCTCATAGCTGAGATCTCCGCCCGGAGCATGCGGACTTCTCTCATCAACTCCGCCATCTCAAGCTTGGACTCGGATGTCGGACCTGCGCGGACTGCACCTTCCCTAGCAAAACACCCCGACAACACAACAAGGGGAGTCTCTCAATCTCAAGATTTACCCGTCGTCGAATCGCAGGGAATCTCGAGCCTGGAAGGGCATCTGTGTTTGACCTGGCATGCGGTAAATTGCTTGAGCTGCCTGGAAAGCTCAAGTGTCGCGAACGGCGACGACTCATGCGAGAAAGCCACATGACCACATGACAGCTGCAGGTCCGCCTTTGCAGAAAGCCGGAGACCCGGCGAATGGCCGTGCCTGTGCCAGCTGGCTCGGGAAACGAGCAGCTCGCGCTCATTCAGGATGTGCGGAAGATGCAGAAGCATGAGTTGCCATGTCTTTGACATACCCTTGGAACATGCCCTGCCTGAAAGCTCCACTATTGGCGGTGCGGGTGGTTCCTCTTCGGAGGAAGAGACGGCACGCATTCGCGGGACCTTCGAGGGCTTCCGCAAGCTCCGGAAGAAGCACTGAATCATGAAGGCCGCCAAGTGCTTGTAGCTCCTTCCTGCGGTCAGCCTGCACACCCACACAGTTTTGAACATCCCCAAGTCTCCAAGACTCCCAAATTGCCATGTCCCAGCCTATTGCGACAAGCGAGCCGCTGTCGCTCTCGTGAGCCGGCCGTAGACACCCAGAAGGAGGAGAACTCCGGAAAGTCACACATGGCCCTGACATGAAGACGCTCAGCCCAAACCAGTCCGGGCAACTTGCCAGGCATCGTCTTAGAACTTAGACTTCTAAATCTAGATGGACATGCAGAGCAAAGCACGAAAGAGCTCTGAAACCGGGCCTGTCGAGCTCTGACTTTGGCACCACGATGCAACTGCCTCGGGCCTTGCTGCACAAAGAAAGTGGGAAACTCAAGGCGCAGTCTCAGTCGGGCCTCACAGCGCGCAGAGGTGTCGCGCGGCAGATTCTGCAGGACACCGTACTCCCCAAAGTATGAGCCCTGGCATGTGCGCTTGGTTTATGAATGCAGCCACCGACGTGTGTTCCTTTGTGCGCCTGTGAAAAGAGCTGGTACGGATACATCACGGAACTCGAGGCGGCACCTACGCAAGGAAAAGCTCCATGAGAGTATACTTCCTTTCATCTCCCTGAGTTCCAGGCTGGCGGCCACTAGCCATTGGCCGACAGTGCTGGTCATACTGCTTTGTTCGCGCCCACCACCTTCGCCTGGAACCTGGATTCATGACCAGTGACGGTGTGGATTGCGATCGATTGCGCGCATGTCTGGGATCCTGACTGCTATGTGGGCAAACACACCGCTGGTAACCTCATACACAGCGCAGTCATCAAATGCAAGTTTGAGAGCTCCATTCTTGTAGCTGGTGCAATCCCTGTCCAGCCGAGTTCTGCACCAGGAAGAAACAATTGGAAAAATCTGAGCGCTGATAAACCACCTCTTGCTTTTGAAAGCTCTGCCTCAGAGGGATTCGAAATGCAGTCTTCTGATATAAAGTATTCTGCGAGCCCCGTAGGCCAGATGCGGCCGCGGCACCGATGAGAGTTCAAGGCTAACAGCATCGGCAAACGAGGCGGCAGCTCATCCATCCTCCGGTGCTACGAGCTCGTTCGTCTGCGTGATGACGACAAGCACGACGAAACTGCTGCACCCTCATCTGCTGCTGTTGCTACTACTGCTACTGCTACTACTACTACTACTACTACTACTACTACTACTACTACTACTACTACTACTACTACTACTACTACTACTACTTCGTAGTAACTACGACTCCTCCTCCTCCTGCTGCTGCTACCAGCCACTGCCACAGCCACTGCCACTGCCACTCCCACGACCACCACCACCACCACCACGACCACCGCCACCACTACTACCACCGCTACCACTACCACTACCACGATTGCGACCACGACCACCACCGCCGCAACCACCACTGCCACTACCAAGTCCACTACCACTACCAGAAGACAGCTACAGCAACTGCTACTACCACGACAACGAACAGAATGCAAAGCCGTTGCTACAGGCATTCGCGCAATGGAATCTACTAAGGCGACAGCAACAACAGCAGCAGCACCCAATACCACCGTCACCAGCGCAACCACTTGCGCCATCAAAACCCAAAAACAGGACGAGAGAAAAAGACCCTTGCAATCTGCACCTCGGCGGCAAGTTCACGAAGAAGCGATTCGTTGCGAACTGGCCCTTGAAGAGCTTGCCAGGCAACATGTTCATAATGTAGCGAGCCATGTGCCTGAGACGAAAGTGTTCAAACATGTGCCTGTTCAGGTTGTTGCTCAGCCAGCCAGCCCGAGGCGGTGCAGGATAAACTGGCTGCGTGTTGCTTTGCTGTTGTGAAGTTGGATGCATGCAATAAAACCGTGATATCCTTGCACTCGGGTCCAGTCACAGCCACTACATAAAGGAAATACTCTGATATCCCTGACATCTTGAGCACCTAATCTCCACAAGCAGAAAGCTTACAAGCTGAGAAGTCCTGCAGCTGCCCGGCCTGCCAGTCAGCAAGCCGCGCACAGCTTCCTTGTCGTACTTCTGGTTCATCCAGCGCACGGCCTGTGGCAACTTCGGAGAGAAGCGGAAACGAACGAAAACCCTGCAAAGAGTACACTCCCATTCAAAACAGGCCAAGCGAAGAACGGCTCTGCACGTGATTAGCCGTCAGGCCTCGGTATTTACCCAGTTCTGGAGCTCCATGACACAATCCTCGCCGAGCTCCGTGTGGGCCGCAAAACGCTCCAGGAGGCCACGTTGTTCGTTGATGAACTGCCCCCGCTCGTCGACTCTGGTGACCGCAGCAATCACCTCGCCACTCGCCACATGGAGGAAAGCTGTACAGCCGGAATATAGCTGGCAACGGGCCTCTCCGATAATGATACTGTGCACCACGGCACCGATGAGGAAGGTGAAGACCACATAAAGGATTTCACCTGCTCGGGCGCGCACGGAGAGATCTCTGCCTTTTGGCAAACTTCTCTGGCCCCTCCGGCCTGGTGTGACTGCAGCAATGTCACCGAAGCCTGACGGGAGCTAAGCTGGCAGAAGCAATGACGAAGAATCCGACACCAACTCTTAGAAGGTTTCGGCACAGCACCTACAGTGGTGAACACCGTGAGAATGAAGTACCTGAGCTGCCAGAGGTGCAAACATGTGCATCTTCCTGAAGATCCTGCAGCCAACTGGCATGGCATGGAGCCATTGAAGACCAGGATCACTCTCATCCAGTAAACTCTTCGCACCATCCGCATCCACCATTCTCCGTGCCAACCAGGTTGACTGCAGAACAAAGCACGGAAAATGAAAGCACTGCATGGCTGCACTTTAGAGAGGTATGTAAAGCCAGAGCTCAAGTAAGAAGCCTTACGCAAGGCTGCATGTGCCGCCCGATCTCGAAGGAAACGAGCCTCCACATCCGTGTGCAGCGAGGCGCACATGTACCAGCCACAGGCGAGGAGGTGAACGGAGAAGAAGAGACCCACCAAGACGTTGATAATCCGCACTCCCCGCAGCGTCTGCAACCACTTCCACAGTGGGCTCCTACAGCGTCCCAGAGTCAGAGCAGCGGGCTTCGATCTGACTCTCTCAGACGAATCGTTTGAAGCCAGGGGACGACTTCATGGCGGTCAGCTTCGCCAGCCGTCCAATGCGAGCCAGGCGGAACAAACGCGAGGCCCTCTGCAATCGCATCGTCCTGCAGAATGGGCGTTCGATGGTTTTCTAGATCTGCTCCCAGCAGGCGGTCAAGATTCAGAGACAAGCCGGAAGGGAGGAGAGTGACAGAGATTGCGTGAGTGCGAGAGCGGGCGAGCGAGAGAGGGAGCGAGAGAGAAAAAGAGAGAGTCAGGGTGAGAGTGAGAGTGAGACAGAGAGGCATTGTTGGCGTCGAAGCCGACCTCGCCGCCTGATGGGCGCTAGTTCCGTCGGAGCCTGCCGGTGTCAGAGCGCGACAGCTGCCCCCTTCGCATGAAACCTTTCGAGACCTCGACCCAGCGATGAAAGGCTCCCTACTCTCAGGGCAGGGCCTTCCTGGCCACTGATCACCTTCATCATCTCGCCAGCTGCCTAGGCTTATGAGGGAAGTCTGCACAAGCGGGTGATCCGGGCATCCGAGAGATTTTGGAAAGGTCGCAGCCCCTCCAAAACTGCCGCCGAGCTGCCTGATCTGGAAGACTGGCCATAACGTTCACGAGGAAGCTGCCCGTGGCATAGCGATAAATGATTCGTGGCAAGCAATCTACCTGGCACAGGGCACGGCCCAGGTTGACATCTGCAGAATCAGAGGCTGTTGCGGCGGTGCCTCCCGTCCGCGCTCATCTTGGAAGCTGCAGAAGAAGTAAATGAAGCAGTCCACATAGAACAATCCGTCGACAAAATTCGACCACACCTGTGCAGTACTTGATTCGCTTATTCTGGCCCCGTCTGCATACCACATGGCCCGAGCCTGCCATCCTGTTTCGTCGATACCCAAATACTCAGCAACCTGCATAGGTCTACTTGCCGGGCTCCGCGGCAATGACCGTCGTAACAGTAACAAGTAAGGAGGAGAACTGTAGCAACGGATATACCGAGATTCATCTTGGTCACATGAAGATCACAGCACCAATTGGGAATTCACAACCGTCGCTACTCGAGATCGTCTTAATGAAGCATCGCCATCATCGACATCATGTCCTCCAGCACTGTCCACAGCATCCCCATCATGTTATTGTCATCTCGGAACTCAACAAATATCAGTCGCAATAGCAGTAGCAGCAGCATGAGCAGTAGTAATCGCGGCCGTCGTAGTAGCAGCAGTAGCAGCAGCAGCAGCAGGAGTGGTAGTATGGGATAGCACGAAAGACAGATGGAATCTACACGCTGCCAGCAATCACAACAGCTATGGCTGCACCCTCCTTCAGCGGCTCCGGCTTGTGAAGGTCGATGAATGTGAGCTGAAAAAGGAACCATGTTCCAATGTACATCAGCATGGCAGTCACGATTCCAGTCCAAACCTGGCGGCACAACTAGGTACACAGTGGGATAAGAACGGTGATAGGCGTCACAGCAGCAGTAGCAGCAGCAGTAGCAGTAACGGTCGCGATATGGAAAACCGATAGCTGTGGTAGTGGTACTGGTAGTGGTGGTGGTAGTGGTAGTGGTAGTGGTCGTGGTCGTGGTCGTGGTCGTGGTCGTGGTCGTGGTCGTGGTCGTGGTCGTGGTAGTGGTAGTGGTAGTGGTAGTGGTAGTGGTAGTGGTAGTGGTAGTGGTGGTGGTGGTGGTGGTGGGTGGTGGTGGTGGTGGTGGTGGTGGTGGTGGTGGTGGTAGCGGTGGTAGCGGTGGTAGCGGTGGTAGCGGTGGTAGCGGTGGTAGCGGTGGTAGCGGTGGTAGCGGTGGTGGTGGTGGTGGTGGTGGTGGTGGTGGTGGTGGTGGTGGTGGTGGTGGTGGTGGTGGTGGTGGTGGTGGTGGTGGTGGTGGTGGTGGTGGTGGTGGTGGTGTAGCAGTAGCAGAAGTAGCCGTGGTAGCATCAGTAGTAGTACTAGCAGCAGTAGCAGCAGCAGTAGTTGTAACAGTAGCAAAACCACTAGTAGTACAAGTACTACTGGTACTACCAATGTATTCGTATTCGTCGTCGCTGCCGCAGTGCGGCTAATTGAGATTGTAGTCGTCTTCGAGGTCCATACGCCAATAACGACGAACCGATGATATCAACAGCGAGCATATCGCGATAACATAGAAATAGCAACATTACAAAACATGTATGCAGAAAACCAAAATGCTGCTGGCTGTGGCCCGTAGTCAGAGTGGTAATGTCAGTATCCAAAACATGGTTACCCATAATGGCTACTGGCAGAGTAGCCATACACTGTCACAATGCTGTGGAGGACAGTGGAAATCATAGCCGTTGCACAAGTGCTGAGAATAGTGGTGGTAGCGATTTAGTTATCGCGCTTGTTGTCAATGCCATCGCTACTCACTTCTATTGCTACCACTGAAGCAATAGTCAGCGACAGCAAGGATGGACAAACTTACATTGCTGGTCAGCGATGACAACCATGAAGCCAACAGCGACATTGACTGTGACAATGACACTGAACACGATCATAACGAGTGCAACAGTTGAGGTGGCTAATCATAATTCAGATACTGTTCGCTCTCAGAAGGAACTGCTATGAACTGCTTGGTGCGGCCTTCCGAAACTTGTTGGACTCCTTCATGACAAACATGCTGCCAGTGTGGTCCATGAGGTCTTGCTCTTCCAAATCCGAGTCTTCTTCCCTCTCCGAGACATCCTGATGGGTTACTTAAGGGCTCAGGCCTTGAACCAGAGTCAATGTCGGAAGATGATGGAGGGTGGAGGACGGGAATCGAAATCCTAAGCTCAAAACCCTGTGGCTTGTGTTGGTGCATCCAGGAATGTGTCCTTGCCAGTGATCAAAGAGCCAGTGGTAGTCTGGCTTGCACGCATTGGGCTGGGACGGAATCGCCCAGACGAGGCATTGCTGATCAAGCCAGATGGAGATCTGCCGAACTCATCTGCTGCACCTGGCAATGCGGCTGCGGCTCACTACCGTAATCCGGAGACTGCTTGCCTGGGATTTAGGGTTCAGGACCCTAATCCCTAAACCGCCTAAACCGCCTAAACCCTCAACCCCAAACCCTAAGCGAGCCTGCAGAGGAGGGGGACACTCGGGCTCGGATCCAGGAGGCGCAGCTGAAGCTCGTCGCCCTAGTCGAGTCTTCGGACGTGACCACCGTCTTTGACATGGCATTCCCATCCAAACTAGGTTGAGAGGCCCCCGGATACTCTTGAGTGCTTCTGGCTCCAGGCTTCAGGGTCTCTCAACCCTGCTCGGAGGCCATACACAACTCCTTTTAAAGGAGTCTGTTTTTCGAGCCTGCAGAGCCTGAGGAAGAAGAGCGTTGCAGATCTACACGCACCGCACGTCTGCATTCATGCTACGGATCCGATGCCTCTTTTGACGCCTACCCTCCAGCTAGGCATACCATGCAAGCGGCAAAATCTAGAAGAGAAGCAAGGCCGCGCAGCTGAGGTTGAGTCCCAAAGCCAGTCCTTCTGGCTCTCTACAGAGCCGACGTAGGAGTCTGGCCTGAAACACAGCAAAGGAGGCGCTCTGGGAAGTGCCCGCAGCCGCTCAAGCCGACTCAAGCATCCTCCAGACAAAAAAAGCGATACTTAGCACCAACCGAACTTGGACTAACTGGCTCTGCTTGCAGTGTGGGGTTCGGAAACTCAGAAGTTGCGTAAGCTCTGGAGGCCTGAGGAGGATGTGCTCGAGCTGGGAAAGCTTCTGGTACTGCTCCTCAATCGTCTTCTGCCGCTGAAACTTTGGAGGCATCCTGCCGCTCACGCAATAGCCGCTACCAGTAGCCCTCAGAACGCCCTGTGCCGGCTTGTGTCCTTGTCTCTCAGGCTGCGCAGGAATCAAAGTGTGCACAGACAGTTGTCAGATATCGATTGCTGTAGTTTCATGAGCTTTTCTGCAGCTGCTTCACTCCTAGCGAGTATGCTTTCAACTGCTGCGGGGATGATATCAAACTGTGATCATTTCTCGGTGACGAGACCTTGGCTTTTTCAAAGCAAAAGCTGCAGAAAGTGCACAACACGAACATGACACCACTTGCACGGGGTAGGACTGAACCTTGAAAGCAATCTGAGGTTTGAGGGTTGGCCCTGGGTTGGCCCTCTGAGGCACATCCAGCAATGATCCATGACCTTTTGCCCACGCATACAGTTGGAGAAACGTCAGCGCTTTGCAGCGCCTTCACCAAAGCTTCAGCAGCTCTACAGCTTCCACGGGAAATCTTGCCTGCCACAGCAACACAGCAGGCATGCTTTGCAATCTGCACAGGCGGGGTGTGGCTTTCCATGCAGCATATGCTGCTCTACACAATGCGACTAGCCAAGTACGGTGTGCAAAGAGTTCTCAAACTCCTGGCCACTCGATTCACCAGAAGCACCACCAAGGCTACCTCCGTCCCTTTCGCGAGCCCCCATTGCCCACGATCTGCATATATCTGCATCTTCCAGCGACCAGCAGTGCACGCAAGCATTCACCACCTCGTCTTCTCTCGAGACTGGTTGAACTCCGACACAGCCGCTTCAAAATCGACCATGCTGACCTCAGGTGACAAGGCCGCGAGCGGGTAACCGGGTAACACAATGACACTCTTGATCTCCTCGAACTCGCCATCCAGAGTCCAAATTTGCACTGGCCGACTGGCTCAGGGCCGCGCCGTCGATGAGTTCCGACGAGCAGCACGGATGGCGGCCTGCACACGACGAGGTGCCAGGACGTGAGCTCGAATGAGGATCCTACCATGCACACCGTTTGTTAGGAGTAGCGACCTCGTTCACGATGGCTTCCAAAGCAGCACCTGGGAAGCCGTCACACCTTGGCTCGTTGAGAGCGTTCTTCACGAAGCAGAGGAAGAAGGTCCTGGAGCCACCTTTCGGCGATCTCGCTCAGCTGTTCCGCGGTAACCTCTGGGGCCACAGGCACCTTGGAAGATAGCGGAAAACTTGCACAGTCTGCAACGTCTCCACTTCCCCAGGCCGCCGACCGAACGCAAGCGAAGGTGGACTTTCAGAATCTCCAGTCGCCCGGCAGCATTTGGAAGCGGCACCTGGAAGGGACACTTTGGCCCTTCTCGTTAACATCGGACTGGCAGCAGCCTGAACGACTCGATCGAAGCGTCCTGGGCGGAGTAGCGCTTCATCCAGAACCTGCTCCAGACCAGCACATCGAGTTGAAACGCTGGAGATGGCTTCTTGATTGGACTGCTCACGACATGTTTGCCAGAAGGTAGAAATAGAGCACACAAGCTTCGGACGGCGTTCAGTTGAAGCCGCACTCACCCCTTCCAGACACGGCTCGAGTTGCGCCTCGGGTCTGTTGGTGGCCGCAATGACGACAACCGGGCGGCCGGGCTCGCGAGTGGCCAAGCCGTCCATGCACGTCAGTAGCTGGTTCAACGTAGACTCAGCCTGCCAGGACAAGCAAGTGTAGGCCGTGTTGGAGTGGCAACTGGAAACGATCTCCATCTACTTCTACCGGCCCGGCTATAGAGCAGAGCCTGCGCAGTATGTCCTGATGTCACGGCAGCTCAACCACGCCTCCTGATTGCCGCCGGCCATTCCCATGAGGTTGTTGGAGCGGGCCCGAAGCGCATCGATCTGAGAGAGGGGTGCCAGAGCACAACAAGGATTGCTTTGATGAGGCACACCTCTCTGGACAACACCACTAGACTAGGGACTCAAGGATAGCAGATGACATGCAACACTCTTTGCAGGCTGCAAGGCATCCCATGGTCCCGTGTGAAGCGCGAAGGCACCAGGGCCTGCAATTGCAAAGCTAACCTGCCTCGTCGATAAACACAATACACGGCGCCATCTTCCGCGCTCGTTCGAAGAGCTGCGCGAGGCGACAGAGCAAATCACTTCTGTAAAACGCTCCTCTCACAGATACGCATGGATAACTCGTGCACATGGAAGCTTATTCCGTTGGATTGCCGCTATCGAAACTGATGCTGGTTTGATGATGATGTCGATGCTGCTGATGATGATGGTGATCATGCTAACGGTGAAGATGATGCTGATGACGATCACGACGATGGTGATTATTATGCCACAACTGGACATGGTTATGGTGCTTGGCGCCGATGACTCAAGACGATGTGGAAGATGGTACGATGAAGGCGATGATGAAGAAGGCCGTGACGGCGACGACGCTGGTGATGACGATGCTCGTGATGATGGAGATGGTCATGGTAAAGATGGTCTTGGTCGTAGTGCTGATGCTGACGACGATGACAGTACATGTAGTGGCAGTGGTAGTGCCAGTGGCGGTGGTGGCGGTGGTAGTGGCAGTGATCGTGGTCGTGGTCGTGGATTCTGCCCAGTGCTGCCTGGCGCACACGAGCTGCACCGCGGCCAACAAAGAGCTCCTTAGATCGCCGAAACGGAAACATTTAGATTGACGTGTGATATCCACAGGCAAAGACATAGAGCATTCAAGTAACAAACATACAGGGTACTACTCAGTTACTACTCAGCATGTGCAAATATGCATGTGTGTATACATATATACACACACATACGTATATGTATACGTATACGTATATGTACATGTACAGATGTATATGTGTGCATGTACATGTATACATACTTACATACAAACCTGCATGCATACACACATACATACAGACAGACATACATAGATACTCACATACATACATATATACGAATGTATGTGTGTATGCATGTATTTACGTATGTATGCATGTATGCATGTATGTATACATGTGTGCACACACACCTGTGTCTGTTTGTTGGCTTTGTATTTTTGTATGTATTCAACTAGTGTTGCATGTGTCTATTTATTCATCTATTTATCCATGTGTCACATTCTGGAACCGCATGTCTACATACATGCATACATACATACACACACACACACACATTCATACACACACATACATACATACATACATACATAAATACATATGTGGCGACACACGTATAAATTTGTATTGTATATATATATATATATGTATAGGAACGTATGTACGTATGTACCGATGTACGTATGTGACTATACATGAGCATGCGTATAAATAAATTTCTATGAACTTCTGCCTGTCCAACTGTGCATAGGCTATGCTTGACTGCGTATCTCATGCTCCAGTTTTGCACATAGTCATGGACCTGCCAAACTGACACAAGAAGTACTGTTACTGGGAGTCTACTTCTGTGTCTACTGCTGCTACTGCCACCATTGCTACTGCTACCACTGATGCTAGTGCTAGTGCCGGTACTACTGCTGCTACTGCTGCTACTGCCGCTGCTACTACTGCTACTACCAATCGCAACTAGTATTGCTGCTGTTGAGACCGCAGCTGCTTCTCATCCTACCCTTCTCCTGACCTGACTGGCGCTTCATGTGTAGCATTCTCACTATTCTGTTCCCCTAAACCCTCCACGGAACCCAAGCGAAATAGTTCAAACACTTAACTTGCAAGTGAAAAGAAATACACTTGCGTAATCATTGCTTTCCTGTTGTTAATTTAGTCAGTTTTGATGGCGCTACAGTAGACGCAGCTTGCAAAGCGTGGAGTTCATCGCGTCTTGTCGCAAGAACGCAGGAATGCAGCAGCAGAATATTAACAGGGTTAACCAACGTCCATCGCAACCTTCACGATCCGTGTCACACCGACCGAAGACTTTGGCCAACATACTTGCATGAAAAGTGGCAACGAACTCGGTGGCCGCAGCGTTGAGAAAGGGCACACCAGCCTGTGAACGAGACAGCCCATCTCTCGCCATGCATGTCGCCCCTACGTTGAAAGTCTTTGATGCCATCTCCAGTATTGGCCCTTTCCTTCCGTCGGCTCGCTAACTCTTCCGAGGCATGAAGATGCCAAGATCATACAGACAGGATCAGTTGGAGGATGGTGGCCTCGGCGGCAGTGGCGCGGGCCAGGAGAGTCTTCCCGGAACCAGGCGGGCCAGCCTCGCAAAGGAAAGGTTGCCGTTAGGGGTCTGGGGTTTAGCGCCGGCTGAAGACAGTTTAGGCTCGGGCCAGCAGCACACCCCTGGGAACACTTGCACCTAGGGCGGCATACCTTCCACACACAAACGCGACAACTACGCCACAGCAGATGCCACAGCAGAGCATAGAAGAGCCTTCCGGGAGATCGCAGCATCTCAACCTTACAGCGCCACGAACAGTTTCTGCCTGAAGCCTCCATAGCCCTCGTGTCACATGCACTTTGCGGCAATTACTGGACCCCTGCAACATGGTAGATCTGAACAGACTGCACTCAGTGCTCACTTCCTTTCGGTGCTTCCCGCTTGACCTGACGATCCTCCTCCTAAGCCGCGTCCATGAACTATGGATTTATTTTCTGAAGTATCTGTATAGTGAGTGCCGTCACGACCTACAGAAATCGTCTTCTGCATGTGGCACCAACTGAATTCGTTTCCCTCTTTAGCATGTGCGCGTCGAGCTGTGTCAAGTCCACAAGATCCCGAGCCCTGAGGGTGTGGCCACTTCCTGGACCTGCACACGGGGGGCCAACGCCAAGCGACCCCAGAGTCGAAAGCTCCCCAGAGTACATACGAAGAGAGCCCGAAGACCTAAGAGGCCACTTTTAAAGTCGTTATATCTCATTATAACCCCCTGAATCTGCTTTTCTCTCCTCCAGCTTGCCTCGAGCTTTGAGCGGTCGATGCCCGCGATGTCATCGAAGCGCGTGACCAAGGCGTTAGACCCAGAGGCTTGCTGGGCCTCCGAACAACACGAGGACTTAACATCAAAGGGTCCATGCTACCATTATGTGTATGATTAGATCCGTGCGTTTGCATGCCTATGTCTACTACATTCCACAGTCTGCCACACCATTATGAAACACACGTAAACACGCAACTTGAGGGCGGAAGCAAGGGTGGAACTGGCCAGGCAGTGGATAAGCAGGTTTTGTGATGTTGAAATCGATGGGCATATACTGGCTTTTCCCTGCCCTCAGCAGATGCGATCAGATTTGAACGGAAACTTGGGCAGAACAGACGAGATGACGTGGGCCTGCATCACCTTCTTCCGGGCATCGCCCCAGCCCTTGCCGCGGCCACCCGTCATGCGTCGCATCATCGTCCAGACCTTCCAGGCTTGGGCTTTGGGGGCCAAACCGAGAGAGCCGTGAAGGGGACCCGGCCATTCCCAGGTAGACCACCAAGAAAAGGCCGCTGACGAAGATCTGCGGCACCCCGCTTACATGTTCGGCCACGATCCGAACCTGCAGTCGCTTCGGCTTAGGAAGAGAGTTCGTGCTCTGGTGAGATTCCTGCGCAGGGCCTTGGCACGGCGCAGTGCTGACCAAAGCTCCTCCCTCACGGGGCTCACCTCGGCTACCGCTGCATTGGCGCATCGAAAGCTCTTAGTCTGCCCCCCTCCAAGCTTTCCGCGGCAGTCGGCAAGCGCGCAAACAGCCTGGCTCCGCTGGAGAAATAGAGCACCTCAGGCCAGTTCGGAAGGTACCGAATTCCCGACCGAGCAGCGTCACAGCTCCACTCCGCAAGACTTTAAAGGCCGAGGTCGGCGAGTATACGCAGATTGACAGAAACATAGGCTCGAGGACAGACAGACAGATAGACAGATGGGCAGACAGAATGTGGATAGGTAGATAGGTGGCCAGGTAGATAGGTAGACAGGCGGGTACATAGATAGGTAGACACACGGATAGATTAGATAGATAGGTAGATAGATGGATAGGTAGGGAAATAGATAGATAGATAAATCGACAGACGGATTTATGGGCAGGTGGATACTTGGGCAGGTTGACAGGGTAGAGAGGTGGATAGGTGGATACGTGGACAGCTAGCTCGCTAGCGAGCTAACTAGCTAGTTAGCTGATAGACAGATAGACAGATAGGTAGGTAGACAGCTATTAGATGGATCGATCGATGGTTACCAGTATTTGTATTCATGTAAATGTCCATATACATAAACTGTAATTTTCTGAACGTAGACCTACCGATCAACATGCAGACAGAAAGACACTCGGGACAGACAGAGCTACTCTGGTCCACATTTTGTACAATTCTTCGTACTTGCAGGCATCGATAGGTGTAATCCGTCGTCCGGCTCGTGCGTTCGTTGCGCATGCAAGTTTCACTGTTGGGATCCCTGCACACTGCGAAGCTCCTATCACCGCCTCGCAGAGCAGCTGCCAGAAGCGTTTCTGTGCCACGCTGAACTGCACGGGACGGGGCAAGAGGGCGGCCAGGCCTGCTGTATGTCGCCTCAGCATATACTCATCCAAGTTCGCAGGTTTCGTGGCGGCTCTTTCGAGTCAACGACCAGTCGGTGCACCCTCCAGCGTATCCAGCAGGAGACTGATGGAGACCTGCTCGGCCCAGTCTTAAACTCTCATCACTACGCTGCTCCCCACCATTTGCCGCCCGGAGCCTCCGTCAGCTTTCCACCACGATGCTTTCTGCTGCGCATTACCTGTGCGGCCACAAAGAGGAAGGGGAGGAGGAGGAGAGGGAAAGATGCCAGGAACAGCAGACAAGCTCCGGGCTAAGAGGGCCAGGAAGAAGAACATCCCGAATAGCCTCAGGAGGCCACTCGTGCAAGAACAACCCACAATAACGCGGCAGACTTGGATTCCTCTAGCTGAGCCCGAAGACCTTAGCCCCAACACGCAGTATTTCACTGCTAGGAGTCCAGTTGCTGTCTAGACTCGGCAGCATCTTTCGGAAGCGTTTTCCCACTGCCCTGCAGATGGAATAACAGGTTTGCCAATGACAGCGATGATAGGAAACTGATTTTTCCTAATGAGTGTAGAAGACCAGGGAATCATGTGCATGAGCAGGAACAGGGCCATGTCCTAGCCATCTTCCTTTGTTCCATGTTGTCATTCAGTCAACATGACCAATGAAGACTTTCTTTCTGCAGCTCATGTGGTTATTGTCCGGCCCTTTCCAGTGCGCGGGAAGTTGACAGTGACAAGAAGCGTTCCGCCTGAGGCCACGTGGAAGACGAGGGAATTTCCGTTTCTTCTCCTGTTGCGCCCAAGGAACACCAGAGTTGTGCGCGAGCTCACGACAAACTCTCGAAGCTCGAGCTGAAGATCCATGGCGAATCAGCCAAACCCACATCTCTAAGCCTGCATCTACTGAATCTCATGCTCGAGCCCAACTCCACAAAGAGCTCGAGACATGCCTCGACCTCCTGGGATTGTGCTCGCCGAGCCCACCGCTCTCCTAGCACGAGACGCCCCCAACGTCTATGATGCCTTGGGTCTGAGTTTAAGGCCTTACGAGCTCTGATATGCCGGTTCCCTGTGCGCTGTTGCGGCTTTCGCTTCGCGCCTCTTAGGATATATGTTCCGGCCCACTCCTCTTCTGACATCGCGCACAAGCGGCGTCAGGATCTCTCGCCCGAGGCCTACCAAGACGCCAGTTGCACTCAAATGGACGACAACTTTCGGAAGATGCGAAAGGATACGAAAACCCGATCAAGTGAGGCATCTCGTCAGAGGAAAAAGCCATGTTCGTCGTCATGGTCACATGGAGCAGCTAGATCAGCTAGCTGGAACCCGAGCATGCTGGGCAGCTACCTTGCCAAAGAGGTCGTGGCCGTGCCGCAAATGGCCTCGGACATCTTTGTGATACCGTCTGCTTGAATTAAAACCGATGACACCCGTGCTGCTGCACTCGTGCAAATCTAACTCTTTCGCTCAACTCTTGAAATACCTGCTGCCGCAAGCTGCTTTCTTGCACAATGTTCGAAGCACATACCTGTTGCTTCATCACCGTGTTCGCAGTGGCAGACATTGGTGGACTGCAATAAGCTCGTCATCTTTTGCGTGCTTATTGGCAGTTGCTGTCGTGTGCAACCACAAGAAGGAAAGCTGCGGACGCTCAGCAAAACGGCCTAGTAGAGGAAATCGGGGCAGAAGTTAGGCAGAAGCAACACTGTGAGAACCTTGAGGGTCGGACACGTCGCAGCACGAAGACCAGCTGCAGGATTCAAAACATAGACCTGGCAAAAACGCTCGTTACGAAGGGTTGAGAAGCGACATGAACTCGCCTGGTCCGGGTCTCTGAACACGCAGACCTCGGAAACTACTGAAACTCTCATGTCTTACCTCGTGGAGTAGTGATTGCTGCAGCCTCGCCCAAAAAGGAAGCTGGTGCCGCAAACACACATGAACACTTCGCTTCAGCGAACATCTTACGTCCGTCACTCGGACCTGCTTAGCCCGCAGAGCTGAGGACGACTCGCTTCCCTTGGGCCCCTCGTTTCTCAACTGATTCCCATTCAGCCGACGTCTGCATCATCCCTGGGCTTATGCTTCGCATGGCAGAAACCGCGAGTCCGCGCCGAAAACGAAAGCACGTACGCAACAAAATCTGCCGCTTTGCCGCCAGACAAGCGATGAGCTGTCGGATTTGCTGCGACATTGAAGATTTGCACCATGGGTGCACCTTGCCCCCCCAGCCAGTTTTAATCGGTGTAAGGCTATCGCCACCTGGAAGAGGAGCAGCCAGCTGGCGCCATGGCAGGTAAGGCGAATCCATGGGCTGCAGCCCCTCGTGAAGTGTTGCTACAGGCCTGGCTTCTGTGACATGCTGCAATGGAGGCTGGTGGCACCGAATCTGCAGGGTGCTGAAACTTCGCAAGCATCCTAGGGCGGCACGTACTCGTTTTCCGGGCTTCGTTTGGGCTCAAATGCTGTCGGAACCCATCAATAGCCTGGACGTACACAGCCACAATCAGAAGGACTTGGACTTGGTGTTGGCCACTGGTGCTGGACACTGCCTCTTCCGAAGCTTCTATTGCCATAGTTGTGGGAGGGTCAGCGAGTGCTGCACAACTTCGTACAGATTACCATGCGCAAGACATGCCGCTGTGGGTGCACCGTTTTGCTGCAACTTTGTTGAGCAGTAAAGTCGGGTCGCAAGCGGTGCCACTTCAAATTCTCTATCTTTGCCCGGGACAGCACACCGTCATCCAATAACCTGGGTGGCACGAGCTGTCCAGCAACCAGAGTCGAAAAGAGCAGTGTCTCTCAACTTTCAACTTCAAAGACTTCTCAACCGTTCCACAACAACGTCCCGACATCACCATGCCGAAGGACGTCTTTTGCCCTCTTCATCCTCAAGGGTCCGATATCGGTCCTGCCCACGGGCACTGGCACCAGGGCAACTGTTGTTGCACAGCACAGATCAGCACAGATCAGCACGGCATGCGTCCTTGGCGAAAGGAACTCCGTCCGGATTCAAGCGAAGGGCGAAGTCGTTCGGGTTGAGGTCTCCGACGATGTCCTTCACCAAGTTCCCCACTCAGGTCCCATGTGTCGGGTATGACACAGGTTAGCATGCTCCGTCTACTATTTTGCGATACAAGCCTCACATCATGCTCATGTCTTGCAGAAATGCTTCCTTGCCGTGGTATGACAAGGCCTCGAACACCAAGTACTCGCGGTGCGGATCCGGCCGCAGCACCTCGAAGAGGCGATTTGCGTCCTGCAGCGGTTATCGCTATCATCGCTCCACAAGCCAAAGTGTGTTGGCACCTTGGGGTAGCCAAGAGACTTGCAGCCCTCGAAGAAGCGCTGCCTGTCTCAAAGGCGTGGTTCTCATCCTTTAGCTGACTCGAAAGCTAGGAAACCGGAGCCTCCCCACGCGCCGAATGTGTTGAGGGTCAAAAGCCACTCGCCAACCCTCCTGCACGAGCACATGCGAGACACCAAAAGAAGGATCCTTGCTTGCCGGGAACACGACAAGACGAGTACGTTTTGCTGGCAGGGCCGGAGTCCTTCAGGCTGGGCAATGGCGTCCTGCAGTTGGCTGGATCGGAGGGTAGTTCTGGAAGAGGTCATCGTGACGAGATTCATACTTAGACCTCGACCTGCTGGCAGGAGCTGGTAGCGTGGCCACATCCAGCCTTAACACTCGGAACGTCACAGAGGCTGCTCAAGCATGGACCCTGGCAGAGGGGCACACGTCGCTTCGGGTCCGTCTGCAGGACCAGCCGGATCAGCCATCGTGTCAGCTCTCGGGTCGGCGATAGGACCAGTGGTAGGAGGATCAGTGGGCAGATCAGCCGATGGTTCAGCTGATGGTTCAGGGGGGAAGTGCTCACTCTCAGCCGCGGGGTCAGCTGCCGTAGCAGCAGCTTGGTCATCAGCAGCCTGGAACTTCGGACACGTGCTACCAAAGCTGTGAAGATCCTCATGCAAGTGCCGGAAGCACGAGATTCGTCAGTCCTGATGTGCAGCTTTTGCTGCATCAGCCTTGGACTTCTGCAAGGACGCAGATGCCTTGCGAAGTGGGATAAAGCATCGACACATCCGACCGTTTTGAATCCTAATCTCACGTAGATTGCTCGTTGAAGAGAGGACGAAAACCAACCAGAAGAGGCCGTCTTCTCGTCAGACACACCCTTTTCTTGCAAAACCTGGCCCTCACGGAATCCAGAGAGCCCATGAAGCTTCAAGGGCCTGCAGCAGCAGATGGTGCAGCTCCGACCAAGACTGCGCAGTCTCTGCGTCGAAGATCTGCCACAGCAAGGAAGAAGGAAGCTCGGACTTGCTAGGGACTTTCCTGTAGGCACGCCTCCAAGGTGAGGATTCCGCCCTTCTGGCCCTGCATGAACTCGCGCCACAGGTAGGAAACCTTCAAGCCCGTCGTCTCCAGACGGCATGCCAAAGTCTGCCTGAAAGCCTTTCCAACATCCTAGCCTGCACAAGCTGCAACAACTGCCAAACTTCAGAAGCAGCAAGAGCCTAGAAAGTTCACGAGGTGTCGAACACTTTGAGTTACATGGAGGTCTTGGCAAAGGACGATGTCCCGTGTTCTGCTTGCACTACGAAGCAGTGATTTAGGCGAGCAGGCTTGCAGTTGTTTCAGGAGGTGATCATATCGCCCTTGCGGGGGTTTCCGATCCAACTGTGAGGCTGAGCTCAAGACTCTCTGCACGCCAAGTCGTCGACAGATCAGCGAAAAATCCTCGCGAGGAAACGGGAGGAATCGCGATCCTCACGACAGACATCACGCTTACAAGCTCCTGCTTCGCCACGAAGCCATTTCTCTCCTGCCAAGTGGCTAACAAAACAGTGCTAAGTGCTGAGATGTGGCCGCTATCTCACAACGGAAGCCAATACACGCAGCGAGACCCTGTCGAGGGCATAGACCCATGCAGCGAAGAAGCTGCCATGTTTCGCCTGACGGAATCAAGCGGCAACGGAACTTCTTGCTGAGCTGTACTGCAAAAGTGGAGCTGTGGAGCTGTACACTCCATACAGAGGATCCGGCAAGCAGCATTGCTTTGAAGCCCTCGGCGCTGTCGATGAGACGGGCTTGATCCTTGGACAAGTTGCTCTAGCACAAGCTGCCTGCCATTTATGGCCATGTTAAGAGTAGGCGCCTCCACTGATACTGCTTTCTCTGCTTCCATTCCTCCGTATGGCACATTTCGTACGGGAACCCCGCCAAGGTGAGAAACACGCGTCAGGCCACTCCAAAAGGGGCCCCTCCTTCGCCCCAGGTTTCCTCGCGTTCTTCTGGGGCCACGCCGATGAGGAGGGCCTTGAGGTCTTCCTTGCGCAGGGAACCTCGATCGACGGAAGAAGTTCAGCCGCTAGGGCCGGGCGCCCAAGGGCCAAGAAACGAAAGAAGCCGAGGCCCCAAGCGCTGCCCGTGCCGAGCCAAGAGGTACCCGAACAAGCTCGCAACCTCGTGGC